CGCTTCGGCCAACCCATATTATCATCCCCGCCTACTACTAAAATGGTATTTTCCAAATTATTATTAATAATAAAATCATGTGAGGTGGAGCATGCATTGGGAGGTATTTAATATTTATGTTAAGAGTTTGTTGTAAACTAACTATATTAGGTGAAGAGATGATGAATGATGTATTAACTTGAATGATGATGATAATCATGGATGGTTAGTCTTATTATTATTGCTTATATATAATGATAGTTTATGATAGTAATAACATATGGTTATGTTTTATTCATTAACAAGATAATTGTTTTCATGTAATGTTATGTTATTTGATTAATCCGATTATCCAATTAACCAAACCAATTAATTTTTTTTGATTTGGTTAATTTGGTTTTCGTGTTAATTTAGACGATTTGTTTAAAATATTTTATTCCATAATTAATCAAATTTAGGTTTAATTGATTTGGTTATTAGCATGATAACCATATGAACAACCTAAGCTCAACAAAGGAAATATAAAAATGGGAAATAAAGTAACAAAAAAGAAGAAGATTTTATTCGTCCTTTCACAACGACTTCGTTCAGCTAATTATTAAAAAAAATCAATAAAGTTACCGCTAGGGCTCATCACTCTGCCCTCGCCGGAACCAGACCACCCGGCTGGCACTACCGCCACCGCTCTCGCTTTCTCTTCCTGTTCTCTGGTCTTCAATGTCAAGTATCCCTCTCTCTCTCTTTCTCTGTCCATGCTTTATTCGTAGATGTTACCGAAACATCTCTGTGTATGTGTGGAATTGCCAAAGAGTCTAAGTTCAACGTTTTCTGAACCCGGTATCCCTTGGCGATTGATTACCGAATTTCACTCCGTCACATGCAGGTAGAGTTGATTAGCGTCCATCTCCGTGAAAATTTAAACTCGCAATCTCTGTTCTCCAGGCGGAATTCTGAGTTTTCCGTGACAGAGAAATGATGAAGTCCGGCAACGGCAAGTCTCACGCCGAAGAGGAAGATGACGGTGACGATTATGATTCCCCTTCCTCCAGAGGTACTTATTGCGCGTGCTTTGTTTCCTGAGATGCGTTTTCACGTTTCCTCATTTCAGCTTCTCCGTCCTTTCTGTTGTTTCGTGATTGCGACTTATAGGTGAAATGACGAAAGATGATGGCAAGAGCAGTGACCAGAAGGGAAAGACCCACAGGTCGAAGCATTCCGAGACCGAACAACGGAGGAGGAGCAAGATTAATGAGAGGTCTGCCTCAATCCTTATTTGTTCACTGTTAAAACTTAAAAGTGGGAGAATTCGTTTACTGCTTCAAATTCAATTGCCATGGCCGTGGCGCCAAAGAAGGACTCGTGAACTTGTTGATCCTGTAGTTTAAGTTTGAATGATCGTTTGTATATTAAAAAAGTATGAAGTCTTCCAGGGAAGGTTGGAATTTTTGTTTTTAAGTCAAATGAGTGTTGAAATGCATTAACTTTTGACCGTGTTAACACTTAACAAATGCAAGGTCTTTGATCCATTGTTGTGTTTCTTAGTTCAGAATCCTCGTTGACTTTGAAAATATGAGAGTTTGGGGTTGAGATGGTCAAGTGTCTAACCCAATGTTGAAAATGTTTGGGTAAGACAATCGTGATTCGAAGGTGGGATAATCCCAAGCTGTCTATCTGTTTAATATTAGTCAAGTCGTAACCCTCATGTGAAAATATAATGTAAAAGTCTTGGTTGGAGTAGAACTGCTTGCTTCATTTCTGCTGTGAGAATTATGTCGCATGGTCTTCTGAATATGTGTAGGTCATATTTGTCATTCATCTTACTTGGAATCAAATTCAGGTTTAAATCTTACATATGCTTATTCTTCTAATCCAGTTGTGTTGCGATGACTTATGAATTGAGGCTTTGCGTCAGCTTCCTTTGTGTTTCCTGTCTCTTCCTTTTGATTTTCTGACTTTCTGGCATGTTTCTTGAAGTTGTTTGTGTTTCTTATTCTTGATTTTCAATAACAACGAGAAGATCGTGGCAAATGAGGAAATCGTTAAAGTTCAACTTCTGTCGGTTTCTTCTTGATTTTTTATCTGATCTTTCGAGCACAATCTTGAGTGTTTATGTTACTGGGCTATTTCATGCTAGCATTGGTCCGAGTTCTGTATTGATGATGCTGTAGGAATTTGAGATTTTATTATTTCTTCTTTTTTGTACAATGACTTATTTGGTTTTCAAATTCAGTGAAACTTTGATGCTATCCTCCTCCAGTGAGGTGTTCAAATAGTGCAGTTTAGGGTTGATTTATTAACTTAGTGCTACTCTGCATTGTATTGCCAGTTCAATTTCTTTGGACTATTTAATTACTAAAGACTGTTGCTTATTACCAACCGTTTTATGAGACAGGTTTCAGGTTCTAAGGGAACTTATACCACAGAATGATCAGAAAAGAGACAAGGCTTCCTTCTTGTTAGAGGTGCACGTAATAGTCCTACTCATTTTTTTTTTTTTTTTGGTAAAAGACAGACACCAAAGGCGACCTACACATTTTGGCTGTTGCTGATATGACAGTATTTTCTTAACTGAACATTTCTCTGTTCATTACCAGGTTATAGGCTACATACAGTTTTTACAGGAAAGATTGCATAGGTATGAGGGATCATACAATGGCTCTAGTCAAGTGCCAGCCAAATTGACCCCATGGGTAAAAGTTCTAGTATTTTACAATTATATGACTTGCTGCTTCTAAGATGTTTTCCTTCTCTCATTGAGTTGGCATTGATACTTTTGTCTTCCCTTGTTTGGTATAAATTCATCTAGCGTCCCATAGATGGTGCTAAAAGACTATGGTGTACTTAATAGATCAGGCAGAGAAAATAGTATAATATGCAACTGTAGATCACTGTCACCTTAATTGTATTTTCTTCTATCAGACATTTATATACGCAAATTTGTTGTCATTATTGCTTTCTTTGGTTTCTTGAAAGGACTATTCTGATTGGCTTTGTTCCCCCTAAATCAGAAAACCCATCTGCCTTCGGAAACTCTAGTGGACCACTCTCAAATTCTGAAGATTGGTTCTGCTCATGAAAGTACTGTAGCACTTGCCAATGCCCGAAGTTCTATGGAATTTGACTTGGAAGCTTCTACAATATGCAAAGCATTGAATCATGCCCCTGGAACTCCACCAGTTCAATATAACATGCTTCCAGACTCGAGTATGCTTGGTGCTATTCGAGGGCTAAATGACATGTCTACACCATGTTTGCAAGATTCCACTTCAGACACTGAAAACATGGCCCATCAGATTCAGTCTGAACTTTGGCATGGTCAACCATTTGTTACAGAGTGTACAGCACCAAGCAGTGTACTGAATGGTCAACAGCTGACAAGGGAAGGTGGGACTGCTAGCGTCTCAGATGTTTATTCCCAAGGGTGAGTATGTGCTCTTGTGCTAAATCCATGGGAAGGTTGTATATGCATGGCTGCATTTCAGCTATGGTATTAATCGTCAGAAGCATTGAATTATTGGTGGTGGAAAGCAATGTGGTCCTTATTATCGCTGCGACCTGATAATGCATGCTTACTAGGCTTGTTGGTGGCTAGTGTGATGTGTCAAGTTAAAGTCTGCATAAAACTTCACATTAAGAATGAAAAAGGGATCCTGTTCAGATTTTAGAGAAACGTATGATCCAAATAGGGCTGTTGATTATCTGTTCGACGCCCTGATCTTTCGGCGTCAGAACGTTTTTGAGTGAATTGATAATCATAAAAGCTATGTTTTGTTTATGAATTTGATGGACTGACATTCTCATCTCAGGGTGCTGAGCAGTCTGGCCCAGGCACTGCAGTCATCTGGTGTGGATTTATCACAGACAAGCATCTCAGTGCAGATTAATGTCGACAAAAGCGCGAACCATGGACCAACTGCTTTGGGCCTATCTCCTCCAAAGGTTTTCTTTTTGTTTAATCCTCTCTTAGCTTTAGCTTGGTGGATACTGGTTACTTCTTTAGCTCATACTACTTCCCTAATTCCCCAGGTTGATGAAGAAGCCCAATATTTGAACAACCAAGTGATGGAGGAACAAAGCCCTGCAGACGAGTCTGATCAACATAGCTGTAAGAGACTTAGAACAGAAAATTGCTAATGTGTTATGTTTAATTTTTATTCCCCATATGGTCAAATATGGCCGTCGTGGAATAACAAGCTGTGATTTATTTTTCCCGGAGGAACGTTGCTCATACCGTGATTCGAAGCCCATTTTCTGTGCATAATGTTTATTGTCTGAGAGGAGGAAGTCTGTATATTCGTGTATTTTATATCTGCATGTAGTGATTTTCTGGTAGTTCCAGCATGAGCTTAAGTGCAGGCTTTCGAATTGTGCTAACACTGAGTGCTGTGTTGTGATGGTAAGTAAGTCTCGAGGATGCGGCTTCTCCATCTCTGGCTGATGAGCAATCAGCATGAGTTCGTCGTTGCTCTCAGTTATTGCTCAGATCACCAGACTTTGCAGCATCGTGTACTCTTTCTGGTTGTTCTTGATTCACGCTTGCCATGTCTACAAGTGATGGCTAGTCATGTATCCAAGTGTTGCCGATGTTTGTCGCGTTGTTGATGTTCGTCAGTACTCTTACCAACCCCAAGACTTAGAAGAGCCATATTAGGTGAAGCTGCCATAACGTTCTGTCAAGCCGTTCTTTGGATATGCTGCTGAGCAAACATGGTGGTGTGGCGCTTTTCTCCTATTCCTGCATTGAGGGCCAATGGATAACCGCTGCTATGGTTGACTATGTTGAGGAAAACTCACATTCTCTCTTTCTTTGATAAAATCTTCAACAACTTGTGTGGTAAAGCTCAAATTATGCGGCAAACTCATCATGATGACTATTAACTCTCCTGCAGTTGGGAATTTACCCATCATAATTCTTACATGATTGATGCAAAGAATTTACCCATCATAATTCTCGCTTTATTCCTAGCAAGTAGGGGTGGGCATCCGGTTCGGTAAACCCGAACCGAACCGACTTCAAACCGAACCGAAACCGAAATTATGTTGTTCGGAAATCGGAAACAAAAAATGCATAGTTCGGGAGCCAGGGTCGTGTTGGCCGAACCGACAATCCGAACACCGAACCGAAAAACCGAAAAACTTAATATACATAGCCAAACCCTCATAGCCTAACTCTCCACACAACCCAATTGAGCCCAAACCCTCACTTACAGCCCAACTCTCCCCACAACCTACCGAGCCCAAACCCTCGCAAGTCACAACCCTACCCTCTAGGCAGTCCGCCCCCTTTCCCACTCACGGCCGTCGCCGCTCCACTCCGCCGCTGTCTTCTCGAGGACCTCGATTCCTCTGGCTCTCCATCGACGCCGTCCCACGCAGAGCACAGCCGACTGACCCCTTCCCATTCCCTCCACCCGCTCCAATCTCATAACCAAAAACCTGCAAAGCAAAGAACGAACACATTCAAAGAACAAACAGAGGCAAAATCCATAAAAAAATCTCTAATTGAAGAAGCAAAATGAGGAGACAGAGAAGAATTGAAGATCGGCAACATGCAAAGCACGAAGAAAGCAGTAGTAGGTGGGGAATCTAGATCTACAATATGGATTTGGGACTCTCTCAGTGAGAGATGTAGATGCGCACCAAAATAAAAAACAGAGACGAAGGAGAAAAAAACAAACCAAAATTTACATGCAATCGCTGCCGCCGCTGGGTTGTCTTCTCCGTCGATGGCCATCGTCGCCTGAGTTGTTGTCGTTGCTGTCGATTGCATGCCGCCGCCGGGTTTTCCTCTCCGTCGAACGCCATCGCCACCTGAGTTGTTGTCGTTGCCGTTGCCGTTGCCATCAATTGCATGCCGCCGCCTGCTGCTAGGTTGTCTTCTCCGTCGATCGCCATCGCCGCCTGAGTTGTTGCCGTCGTCGAGTCCAGAGAGGGGAGGAGCAATCGCCGCTTGCGTTGTGCTCTGAGTAGAGAGAGAGAGAGTGACAGAGAGAAAAAGAGAGCGCATAATAGAAAATGGGGAGATAGATTAGGGTAAATGGGGAAGTTCGGTGTTGCCTTAAAACCGAATTCGAACCGAGATCATCCGAACCGAAATATATCTCGGTTCGAATTCGGTTTGCCCCCTGCACTACTTCGGAAATCCGGTATTCATCTGTTCGGTTCGGTTCGGTAGTTTTCAGCCATTAGCCATATTGGCATTTTCTCTCTCTAAAATAACTAGAAGGTTCAACGCGGGCACGGAAAAGGACAAAGTCGTTATAAAAGAAAAACCACCTAAAAAGCCCATCCCCTTCCCTTTAAGGCCTGAGAGCTTATTCGTTATTTGCATAAAGCTGCGCAACGAGCAAATTCTGAAACCCATCCCTGCGACAGGAACTGCAGAGAGCGCGAACTTATCTCGAGCAACCAAAAGGTTCTCTTTTCTCTACTATCTCCATGCAACGGCCTACGCCTTAGGATTTGCTCTTCGTATCATGTAGATGGTTTGAGCTCTCGAATGGAATTATTAGGGTTTTGTTTCAGAAATGCAAAAGGACGAGACTTTCGCCATTCTTTCTACTTTGTCGTAGCCTGAGCTCACCTGGGAACTAATGGGTTCATAGATTAGAAGTTCCCGATTCGATAATTTGTGATTACTGGTTGAAATTTGTTAACTTGAGCATTAAACCTAATGGCGGAAGTTCGTCCTCCCTAGATAGCAATTTTATAGGGTGCGATTGTGCGAGAATGTTTACAAGTATGGGTAACTCTCTGATTCTTGATAGATTGACTCGGTGGTTTTTGGGGGATGGTGTTTATTTTTGGTTGATAGATGGCACTTCAAGAGAAACTTGAGAAGTTCAAGAAGCAGCAAGAAAATATGCACTCGATGCTAAGCAGCATTACGCAGAAACCAGGGTCCTCTAAACCACTATCAACTTCGAAGTCTGTGCCTTATTCAGCTACACAGCTAGCAGGTGCTAAGGCTCCGGCTCAGCCTGTCAAGTTCTCGAATGATACGGAGAGACTTCAGATTATCAATAGCATTCGAAAGGGGCCTGTGGGATCTCAGATCAAGCGTGTTATAGAGCTTTTGAAAGATGTAGCATCTCAAGCTCTTGATTGCTTTAGATATTTACTTCTTTCAGAATTTGTGTGGTTTTATACTGTTCGAAAGATCCTTGTTGTTGTGGGCGTGTAAACGGTTTTCTCTGTTCTGCAGACAAGGCAAGCCTTCACTTCGGATCAAATAAATGAAGCCACATATGTGGATGTGAAATCCAATAAAGCTGTCTTTGAGAGTTTGACGAACAATCTGAAAGTGAACTATGATGGGAGGCACTTCTCCTACAAGGTGACTTGGAACTATGCTTGCACTGTTGCACATGTCTTGATAGATTGTTACAGTTTGGGATCACTGAACTAAAATGATTCTCCTTGATTTAGTTTTATATATCTCCCTTTTCTATGTACAGGATGACATTCTGGGTTTTAATTATTATATCTATAGGCCAAGCATGACTTGAAGGACAAGAATGAACTACTGCACTTGATACGGAAATTTCCAGAGGGAATTGCTGTCATTGATCTCAAGGATGCATACCCTACTGTGATGGACGACCTACAGGTGTGTAAATTATGGTTTCAAGGGCTATTCTGTTTCATTAGACACCTTTGTCCTTAAATGCCCAAAAATTCTATTTAGCAGTTCAATGCTGTTGCGCTGCACATTATCTGGATTGTCTTGCTATTTTGTCTCCTTATTGAGCAAACTTCAGGTGAATCAAACTTGTGATTCTGCCTAGTGAGCACATTTATCTAATCACTATTGTTGATAATCTATCGACATGGTGATGTCGCATGCTATTATGATGGTGCTACGTACGTCTTTACTTAATCAACTCCAGGTCTTAAAAATAAACTTGAAATTATGTGTTTTTTGTGTGGGTCTTACTAGGCTCTGAAAGCTGAAGGAAAGATCTGGCTACTATCGAACTTTGACTCCCAGGAGGACATCGCCTATCCTAATGATCCTAGGGTAGTGATTAAGGTTGATGACGACCTTAAACAACTCTTTAGAGGGATTGAATTGCCTCGTGACATGCTCGACATTGAGAAGGATCTTCAGAAGAATGGGATGAAGCCTGCAACCAACACTGCAAAGAGACGAGCCGCAGCTGAGTTTCAAGGCATTTCTAGCAAGCCAAAGATCAAGAAGAAGAAGCATGAGATCAGCAAGAGGACTAAGCTCACTAATGCTCATCTTCCCCATCTTTTCCTGGGAAAACCAGAAAGTGAAAACCCTAATGCTGGCCAATCTTAGTCTGTAAATTGCAGAATCTCTGCTGAATGATCCTAGATATATGTGCGTGTTTGGACATAGCTGGTTCTGCATGAAAATAAGACAACCGCCACCCTTGTGGATCGTTAGTGTTTGATATAAAAAGTTTCTGTGTGTAGTTACTGTGTTTAGCAGAAATAGAAAATCGATTGTAGACTTCTGATTCCCTAGTTACTAACTTAAGACTATCCATAATTTCACATCTATGTAGTGGTTCGTTGAATGTATGTATGTATTCAGAAGGGTGTGAGTGACCAACCTAATCCCAGTTAATTGAGATTTTCTTTAATCCATCTTAGCTATTATGAACTTCTTTGATCATATCCGAGCTACTGTTATCCGAATATGATCTTATTTCATGTTTTTACATGAACTTATTCAATTTCTGTCACCCATGAAAGTATTTTTAACACCGACCATTATGGTGAAATCAACTCTATTTAATTTTTATAGGAAATTATAATATATATATATATATATATATAGGTGGCTACTTCGGTGCACTCACTTTTTTGGGTGCATTCAGTGCACCCACCTTTAAAAGTGGTCATAATACATGGGTAGCATTAGTCTCATATGATATAACACAAAATCACAACTAATCAACCCATTTCCCTAACCTATTAACATTCAATTTTGAATCTAAACACAAAATCCCAAATTGTAAACCCTAACTCTAACCCTAAATTCCTAAACCCTGAATTATTCAAATTAAAGTGAATCTTGAATGATTTTTGTACAAATTCATGTGGTTCTTGTTCATCATACTACAAGGGATGATTGACATCGTTTGCACATGATTCGTCTGCTCAAAATGACGATTATGAGGCGGGTGCATTGAATGCACCTAAAAAAGTGAGTGCACAGAAGACATAATCATATATATATATATATATATATGGTGGCGTCTTCGGTGCACTCACTTTTTTGGGTGCGTTCAGTGCACTCACTTCATAACCATCATTTTAAACATGCGATTTATGTAAAAATTATGCCAATCATCACTTGTGATGTGATGAACAATAACGCACATGAATTTGCACAAAAACCATTGAAGATTTACTTTAATTTGAAGGATTTAGAGTTTAGAGATTTAGGGTTAGGGTTTACAATTTGGGGTTTGTGATAGAACTCAAAATTGGAGGTCTAAGGCTTAGGGTAATCGGCTAATTAGTTGTTATCATACGTTATATCATCATATTACACTGATTCTACAAATTAAAATTCAACATCCGACACCTTAAGACTAATTTTTGAGTTGGGTGCATTGAACGCACCCATTTTTGTGACTGCACCGAAGTAGTCACCATATATATATATATATGGTTTAGGCTAGCGTACGCCTGGGCGTACGTTAGGCTACTGTACGTCCGTTGAGTTTTACTATTTTGATCATGAATTAACCGGAGTTTTTGGCATGATACTATACCCTAACCTCTAATGGGTAAACCCCAGTCCCTAATTTTTTAACCCAAATCATGAGAATCGTTTAATCTGAAAATGTAAATCAACAATAATTTCGACGAATCTGAATCGTTGATTTTCATTTCGAAATTAAATGAATATTATGCTTTGGATTAGTGAATTGGGGACTGGGGTTCACTCATTAGGGGTTAGGATATATTATAATGTCCCAAACTTTGGTTAATTCATTGTCTAAATAGCAAAACTCAACGGGCGTACGGTAGGCTAAGGTACGCCTGGACGTACGCTAGCCTTTGCCACATATATATATATATATATATATATATATATATATATATATTATTTTCAGGAAAAAGTTTGGATTCTATACTTTTTTCAATGCTGCCAGAAACGAATTGGAGTATGAATTGATATAACGAACATTTCACATTTTGATATTCCGATCGATATTAAGCCATTAAAAACAGTTAATGAAGCGATGACTATTAAACAAAAAAAATTATAAACAAACACATGTAGTAGCCCATCTAGCATTCTGTTGGGTATAGACTCATGGATCAAGTCAGTGGGGGACATGAGCTCAGAAGGTAGGATAGGAGCCCAAGCCCAATTAAGAAGTGTTGGATATAGGCACATAGACCAAATCAGTGAGGGACATGAGCCCAGAAGGTATAGTTGGGCCCCAAACCCAACTAGGAGCATGAGTGGGTAACAAGAGATGAGGAAAAGCCCAGTCGCGAAGGAGGGGGCGCGTAACGACAAAAGTAGATGCGGGGACCAGGTGGCCTAGGAGTCAGGAAGAGGAGAACGCGCCACCTGGAAAGGTGGTCCTGCCGGGCGCCTGGGCGCCGAGGTCTGGGAGATGCCACGTGGAAATACCCGACCGTTGGACCGACCAAGCATTAAATGACGCGCTGACATGGAGCATGATTCCAGGAGCCTGGTCGGGTCCTCAACGAGTATAAATAGTACTCGGTAGGTAGCATTTACGCAGGTTGGCTTCTCACACTAAAACCCGACTTACACTTCTCTCTCTAGATTCGCTTCTAACTTGAGCGTTGGAGTGCTAACGGGCGAACCAAAGCCCTTTAGGCGCTTGTCCTTGCAGGGTTTGGGCGCCTTGGAGGTGAAGGAAAGGAAGGTGGTCTAGCGAGGTGGGACAGAAGGTAACTGGGCTCAAACACATTCTAAATTGACATATTATAAATAAACACATATAAAATCGACTCATTTTAAATAATAAATTTAAGAGTGAAAATAAATAGACCAATCATATCCTCAAATCAATTCTTCTTGTTTAATCAACAATTTCTCATTTTAAGCTATGAAGTTATAGGAATGAAAATATTTTCTGTAAAATTTTCAGGAATTAGAGAAGAAAAAGAGTGAATTAAAATAAACAATTTTTATTCTTTTCGGAAAGGCTTCACTTCTAGCTTCTAAGTTTCTGTTCGTACTTCGTGCGTGGTTCGCAGTTCGCACACCTCAACGCCCAGGTGGCGTTCATCGAAGAAAGGCTTCTTTTTTCCTTTCCCTTTTCAGTTATCTGTATTTGTCCGTCGATAGATCGCCTTTCCTCCATAGAAGTGGGGCAACAAGCAAGCAAATCATGCGAGTTACTTCTGCCGGTTCCGGAAATCCCTTCGTTCCCAGGTTCGTTAAAGTTTGCGCCTTCATTCCACTTCTCAGTGTTTCCTGATCGCCCCTGCGCATTATTTTGATGCGGGTTTTTGTAGTTATGAAGAATGGCAAAATTTCTTTATAGAAACCAAATCATTTTGATCAGGGAAGTTGGAAGTTTGTCCTTTAAATGCACAAGCGCAAATTAGTTTATTACGTATTAAGGTGTATGCTCGGTTTTAGATTCTAGGATTAGTTTGATTCACATGAATCGCTTTCTGTTTGTATCATCGGTTAGTTAGGAAAAGTAACTGCATTGTGGTTCTCGCCTGGTCGGTTCGTGCTTGGACTGCATAAAAATGGTCGATAAGACTTCGTTCATTCAATTGCAATGTGGCATGCTGAAAGTGCTCTTTGCATAACGTAAACTCACAGGATTCAAAAACTTGAGATGGTGAAAGCCCGAGTTCTGAAATCTGGTGTTTTTATGTGATAAATAAAAATAAGAGGTTCTTTGTTCACCAATTGATCATGATTACTTCTTCTAATTCAACCTGAACATCTGTCCCTTGTTGGCTGAAGCTGTTAATCGTTTGCTGGTGTTTGTGGTGAATTAACATAGTGTTTCATCATTGGGGTTTGCTTTTTTTAGTTTTATTGTTCTTACAGCCAATCTTTTCCATGTCCTGCCTTGTTATTAGCATGATGCGGCTGGTTCGACTATTATTAGTCTTCTGCAAATATGTCTGTGTTACCAGATCTTTATATCTTGATATTTCTGTGATTTTTATGAACTTTAGTTTCTAGTTTTTAACCAGTCATGTTCCTAAAATTTGTGTTTTACACAATATCTTGGCACAATTAAGCAAATGAAGTGATTGTAGCTTTTCCCCTGATTTGTAGTTGAACAAGTCACCTTAATGCAAGTTCTTAAATCTTACTTTCTTTGTATGTCCACTGAATCCTTATTTTCTCTCCTTTTTCCTTTTGGCATTTGATGCTGAACAACAGACAGTTGATTTAGAAGCCGAGGGAAGAAGAAGAAGAAGAAGAAGAAGAAGAAGAAGAAGAAGAAGCAGCAGCAAGCGGCCATCAGAATGGCTGATGCATATGAGATCAGTGCATTTCCTGATGATATCAACAATAGTGATATGATGGCTGACTCGAGTAAAACAGACTTGTATGTGGAGATATCATCAAATGGAGAGGTGGTTGGGATAAATCCAGGGGATATTCTAACTCGAGTAGAATTAGATTTGGCTTATGCTTCCGAGAAGTCGCTTAATTTGAGTCTGTTCACAATGCAAGTGGCAAACAGGGAAGGTGACTTTGAGGCCCTTGTTTCAGCATCAAATGTAGATTTGTTTTCCGATACAGCAGGGAAAGGTCTGGAGTTTGATCTATTATCTGGGATTTTGGAGTTCTTGGTGTCAGAGCTGGATCAATTCCTAGGGAATTTGCAGGCTGATATAGATGAGGTTAGTGGTATATTGTTTTCATATAAAGATGCAGGGGGCATATCTTTCGTGCTGGAAGAAAAGTTGCAAGATTGCAAGGCCTCATTGCAACAGTTGCAAGATCAAGTGTCAGACATTTGTGCCCAATCTTCTGAGTTTAGGAGGACCTTATCATCCGTGCATGGCGAACCAAGTGGTATGCGGTTCTTCAGGTTTACATAATTTGGGTCTTAGTTGTGTTGGCTGTTTTTTCTTTCCACTGCTCTGTCTATTCAAAATACGAAAGTTCAGAATGCCATAAAAATGGTTGTGGTTCCGAAAGATTGAATCTAGATAACCTAGGGAAATTAAGGGTCGTTTGGAACCTCTTATGCTGAGTAATTTAGAATGCACGTATGTCAGATAATACATATTTTTTTTGACAAAAGAGTTGTTTGAAATCATGGTGTATTATAAGAATAAATATTCAAAAAGTGATGCATTCATAATCTCTTCTAGTTGGCGAGATTCTAAATCCATCATCGTTTACTATGTTCTTCTTTATCATACATTACATTCCGAACGATGTATCCGTCAAATAATATGTATTCCTGAAATCTTTATTCTGTAACCCCACAATTTAAGAATCAAATGGTTCCATATGACCCCTTAGCCTTAGCTCACTAATGATGCATTTCTTGCTGATAGGGGGAAATGGAGGGATGTACTCCCCGGAAAATGACCAACCGGCAAACAAAAACTCAATGATTGATATGAAAACAGCAGAACACCAAAGACAGATCTTGAGGATGCTTGAGAAGTCCTTGGCGAGGGAGATCGATCATGAAAAGAAGCTGGCCGAGTCAAATCAACTTGAAGAAGAACTGAGACATAGGCTACAGTCAGCAGAGGAAGATGCATATTTTATGGATGAAGAAGTAATTGATGTTTGGGAAAGGTGTTTTGCAGCAGAAAATACTGCTGAGATTCTGATGGGAACCTCGAAAGAGCTATTAGGTCAACTTCAAGTTCTACAGTTCAACTTGACTTGCACGAGCCAGAGAGAGGCTTATCTGAAATCGAGGCTTAAAGAATCTTCAGACCAATTGGACGCAAAAGAAACTGCTTTGCAGAAGTTCAATAGTAGTAGTTCAAAGCTGAATGACTTCCTTCTAGCTCAAACTGATAGCCTGAAAGCCAAATTGGCCGAAGCTGAGGACAAATTAGTCCTTGCTAATTCAGAAGCCTTCACTTTAAGTGAGAAGGTCTGTTTGCTCGAAAAGCAGCTGAAAGAATCTGAGTGTCAGGAGGATCATAGCATTTCGAATTCTGAAATCACACGACTGGTTAGTGAAAATGAGGATTTGATGGTAAAACTGTCGAAAGCAGAAAGTAAAGCCGAAAGTGAAGAAAGAAAGTGCCAGTTACTGACAGAAACGAACATGGAACTCAATGAAGAAATTGAGATTCTTAAACACAAGTCTGAGAAGGTAGGTGGTTTAGAAAAGCAGTTGAAAGATTATGATATCAGAATCCAACATGCTGAGGCATCTGCTGAAGCTAGTCAAGAGAAGCAAACCATGTTGTACTCTACAATAGGAGACATGGAGAATCTCATTGAGGATCTCAAGTTGAAAGTTTGCAAAGCTGAAGGACATGCAGACAGTGCAGAGGATAAATGCATCATACTGTCAGAATCTAATGCAGAGTTAAATGAGGAACTCAGGTTTTTGAGGGGTAGACTTGAACGTCTGGAAGCTTACTTGAATCGTTGTGATGAGACAAAATTAGTTGCTTCAAAGGGCATTAGCTTTCAGAGTAAAGTGATGACCGATTTAGTGATGCAATTAGCTATTGAAAGAGAACGTCTAAGGAAGCAGGTTATTATTTACAATTCCTGGATGCTCTCTCTTTTGGGTTTTTACCGACTGGTTAAATTTGTTGAGCCCTAATGACTTGATACTTTGTTGTTGTTCGCAGCTTTCATCTCTAGCATTAGAGAATAGAACCTTGTTAACACAGCGGCAGCAGACAGAAGATGAAAAGCATTTAGCTACTGATAAAAAGGAATCTGATATCCTGGCTGGTGGTTCAAAGGTAAGTTGGAGTGAGTGGCTGTTATGACCTAAATTTGCTTGTATTTGAATGTTTGAAGAGAGACGACCAGTTCTTACTGCAATTCCCATCTTCTCTTGCTGCTGCCAACACAAATCATTTGCGAGTTGTGTTCATGGTAACTGAATCAATAATGGCTGTCTTGCTTGCATATGGAAACATGAAATGTGTGGCGAGGGTTGGATGGTACTAAACCTTTTAAATAGTGAGTATAGGATTTGGATCATGGAGTCAGAATCCATGAGGGTGTCAAATCCATGGATTTGAAAAAGTCACCTCTAGATGAGGGTTTGTAAAATAAAATCCATATCTAATATTGTCTTTTCTCTTCTATCTTTTTTGGTTACTTAGCTTCCAACTTCCCATCAACCATTCTCTCATCTATGTTACCGAACGTAACAAGGTCATTTTTTTAATGTTAGAACGCAATTCACTCACAGCAAATCCTGTACTGAAATCATACATCCCACTTAACAAAAATTTGAAATCCACTTGTCATAATCTTTTACTTTTCAAATTCGTGGATTTGTGCAATCCATCACTTTCAGAATTCTACATTTCTACTACCCAAATTTGTATTTTTGGAAGTGTTCACTTTTCAATTTTATTTTCAATTTTATCAATTATATAGCTTGTTGAAATCGTCTCCATTTTACCCACATAGATAGCTATTAAGTTGATTTGGCAATCCTATTCCCGCTCTTCTTCTGAATCATTTTGCCCAGAATTCATCTTTGGCATCATTTAATCTAATCTTCAATGCCGTTTCTGCAGGTGGAGGGTAGTCGGGAAACCATGTTGGATGGTGAGACTAAAGCTGGGGCTGTAGTTGATGTGGGATTGTCCAACCAAAAGCAAGTTTTGATGGCAATGGTGGTTGTATTCATTTCAGCAACTTTCTACCTTCTCCAACCAGAGATTCGCGAATTCTTCCGAAGATATTAGGGATCTAATTTTAACTGCCCCTGAGGGAGGCTGAGGATCAGGTAGCAGCAACTCCATGCACACAAAGCATCATCAGCGGCTACTGCAAATTTTTGTGTTCTTTCAACTGACAAACTGTGAGTTGCGACGCATAGTTATAGTAGTTAACTCCTAGTAGTTTCTGCTAGTTTTTGTGTTCTTGTACTGAGAGAAACCACTAGTTCTTGCTAAGATTTGTCACATAGTTCATCTGTTAACTCCTTTCTAGCATTCTCATTACTCTCACTTCAGTTCAGAGTCTAATGAAGTTATAAGTGGAACTCAAATGACATGTCACCAGTCCACTTCATCTCATCAACCAGCAGGCTGAGATTTTTGTATATGTTGTCACATCTCAGATGGGACTGGTCTCCACTGACAAATCGATGCACTTCATCTCTAATCTCAATCCAGCTGCAACCTGGTTCCTTCTTAAGCCTATTCGCCTTCATCATCCTCCTAGCCTCAGAAACCTTGCCCCACATCCCAGCATCAGCATAAATGTTGCAGAGAAGAATATAAGCAGAAGAGTCATCCGGCGCTAACTGCAAAATACAACTTGCAGCCTTCTCCGCAATTTCCACATTCCCATCTATCCATACATGAATAATGCTTAATTTCAGGTTCCAAACGATGCTCCTTTTGCATAGTGTGAAAATAACACATTCCTGTACCGAGAAGTCCCTTGTGTGCACACGCTCGAAGAACTGAAAGAAAAGTGGAGCGGTTTGGGTTCACTTTCTCAGGTCTCTTCTCCTCAAATACCATCAATGCCTTTTCTCCAAGACCATGCTGTGAATAACCGCATATCAGACTGTTCCATCCCACAAGGTCCTTTTTTGGTGCTTTCTCGTACATAAGTTCTGAATCTTGAAGTTTACCGCACTTTGAATACATGTCCACCAGTGTAGTCGATATGTACACATCGGACTGCAGTTGCTGCTTTATGACCTGAGCATGAATCTGCATTCCTAGACCAACCGTAGCTACGTTAGCACAGGTGTCAAGAATTGCAGCATATGTAAAGTTGTCAGGCTTTACACCGGCTTCTAGCATGTAAAGGAAGAAGCTTTGAGCTTCCTCACTCTGTTGTAGGCTTTACCTCAATCATCCTTCTAAGTCTTCAGCAACAGTCTCGAGCATCCTCTCCATTGTCCTATCTGCTTCTCGACGACAGGCTTCTCGTGATTCTCCAAAAGCAGTTGCCCCTCTATAACACCTTTCTACTGGAGCTCATGATGGCCAGAAGTGGACGTTGCTCTATGGAAGCTACTCATGATCTTCGCAAGTCTCTCTGTAAACGGTCACTTCTCTAAAAGCACTATAAATTCTAGGGTTCTCGTTTTGTTTAAAACTTGGCAGTCTGTAGTGAGAGGAAGTCGAATGTCTCTTCCTACATTTGGTCCTTTATTTGCTTCAGTTAGGGCTGAAATTTACCCTGACCCCGCCCTTGAACCTGTCTAAACCCGCCCCTGAAAGATCAAGATGTATAATTGATCCAACCCCGTCCCTGTTTTCTTCTTAACCTTGTATGACCCTCGCGGGTAGGGTCAGGTCAGTGGGTCGACCCTTATCAACACACAAAATTTAAACAAATTACAATTTGGTACCCAAAATGATTTTTTCTTACAATTTAGTACCTAAACTTTATTTTTTTACAAATAAATCCTTAAATTTTGATGGAAAATTATGTTTTGGTACCAAATTTATTTATTTTTACAATTTAGTACCTAAAATTTTACAAATAGGTCCATTGTGTTTGTATGTGGAATTTCATATCTAAGAACTCGTGCTTCGAACTGCAATCTTACTCTTCTCCATATTCGTTCTTCTACTATCAGTTGCCGGAAGTTATATACGAATCTGGATAATATTTGAGTTTGGATTGTAATAGGGTCTTCCGGGAGCGAGACCCCGCTCCCCCTGATGGGGGACTCAGCAGCAGCATGCAAATGGTGTTGTCAATGGGGTTCAGCTATCTACAAAGCAACCGTAACTTCCAAATAACTACTAAATACTTTATTTTTTATATAATAAATTTAATTTTTTAAATTTCAACTACCACCCATTTATATTTTACAAAATTTTGTCCTTATTTATATTTAATATCCTACTAAACAGTCATTTACGAACTGATTGCCTGTTTGATTTCAAAGCGTGTTATTTATGTTACTCCAAAATTGAAAGAACTCTTTTAACACTTTCAGATAAAATCAATACGAGTTTGAGAAGCAAATAAACCAATAGATATGATAGATTACTTTTGTGCTCACCATCAACTGAGCTAATCATCAATTCCTTTCAATCCATTGAACAACTCATCATTCTTAAAACAATGGTAACAGTTTTCAAAGTATCGTAGGAAGAAAAGAGTCAGAAAGGTGATCAAACTCACTAAAACAAAATCGAGTAAGCATAACAGGCTAAATTTATATTTTGGATGAAAACCCAAAAAAATTGGTTGTATAAATGGACTTTTGTTTATATAATAGTTATATATATGTTTTAAATATAAATGAATTGTAGTACTATGGAAAATATGTACTTAGAGAATGATAGTGTCACAAGTTTGCTGCATAAATAGTATTTTTCATAGTGATGGTTTTCTTTTATTAATGAGAGAAAATTTATTAATCCGATTATAATTCTTTAAATATGAGAAAATGAAATACGAATGGGAAATTAAAGACGGAGCTTGTGATATTTAAGATACTTGAAGAGACTTAACTAACATTTGTTTGTTAATTTTATTTTGATAAAACATTTGTTATTTTGGCTCAAACAATCAATCCTTCCCAATTTAAGGAAACACAATCCCAATTTTGTGTACCCAAATTAAAAGCAAAAGCCCAACTAGGGCCCATTACCCCGCTACGCGTGTCACACACGGGTTGACTTGGTCAATGAGACGCGTCCAATCCAACGTGTAAATTACTTATTACTCACGCTACATGGGTATGGCGGTAAGTATAACCGACTCCCCAACGTTATAGTTTCCCACTGCTATATATAGCATATACATAGGCATACCTCTTTCGTTGAGACATTCGTTTTCCCGGGTCGCAGAGATCCTTCTCAATTCAGAGACGCGTCCCAAAATGAGATCTTGCTAAAGTGGCCAGCGACGAGTAGAGAGTTGTGGTGTGTCTCTCTGAGGCTGTGTCTCCGCTCCATCGGCGTTGCTGTTTGCGGCAGAAATTTCAGAGCGGCATTGTAAGGCTTTTGTCGGGGTTTATCGGTGAGGGAATCTTCATGTTCTTCTTCTTGTTCCTATTGCCTCTTCGTCTTTGCTTTTCTGCGCAAATGCTCTTCCGAATTTTCTTATGACCCGTTTCGTCGCTTTGTAAGCCCTAATTCTTACGGTTTGAGATACATGAGTGTGGCTGTCTTTCTTCTTCTGAACCGAAATTGTGGGTGATCAATGAAGGGAGTTTGTTAAGGTTGTTGGGAACTTGACTAATTGGTGGTGGAATTCGCATATACTGGCTGTTGTTTGGTTTTTTACGGTAGCAAAATTGATGGTTAGGTTGTTCCCGTTAGATTAATAATCCAGTTAGGGTTTGGGTGCGGGGCCATGACTGTGCGGTCCGTTTGCGGGTATGACTTTGTGAGGAATCCATGTTGATGTTTTGTCGCTTGGTGGAGAAGTCTCCTCTGGTATAATTCCTAAGGTCCCTTCTCTGTTGCCTTGAATTTCTTATGCCGGATGGAAAATCTTTAGAGCTGTGTCTTTGATGATTCACTTGCTGCAGTCTCAAGTGAATGAGAAGATTTTGCTGAAGTATTCTAATACTACTATTTATATGGTTTATAATGACTGATTTATGTTGCCAACAGGTTGTTCCATATATTTACACCTATTAAGTTGCTTCATTCACTCTGTGGTCACCTTGTGTCCCCATTGCAGTCTAGTGATCCACAAATCTGTAGCCATGTTGCCCTTCTGCTAAATCCAGGAGTCCTAGAAGGGAATTTGGAATGACTAATAGTAACCAAATAAAATACATGGATTGGTGGCCATGTTTGAGAAAGAAACTTGCTCCGAAAGTTGTGTCTCGTTGTCCCTACAATTGAATTTGTCTTTAGTCATTCCAGTTGCCCTTCTGCTCTAACCTTGCTCAGTAGATGTCCTTACTAGAGTCCTAGATGGGAATTTGGAATGACTAATAGTAACCAAATAAAGTACATGGATTGGTGGTCATGTTTGGGAAAGGAACTTGGTCCGAAAGTTGTGTCCCATTGTCCCTACAATTGAATGTCTTTAGTCATTCCAGTTGCCCTTCTGCTCTAACCTTGCTCAGTAGATGCCCTTACTAGAGTCCTAGATGGGAACTTGGAATGATTATACTCTATGTGAAAAGGCATGGATTGGTGGCCATACTTAAATAAGAATGCTGTTTGTCCGAAAGTGAAGATTATTTATCATTCCAGCTGCCTTTCTGCTTTAACTTGCTAAGATAAATTCATAAATGGGGTCTTAGAATGGAACTTTGGAATGAGTGAGAGATACTAACGATATATACATGGATTGGTGGCATGTTGTTGCTCTAAATCTTGTGTCCCTTTGCTTCTCATTTTCATACGACCAGGACAGTTTGTTAACTGAAAGCCCAAGCTCTACATTATATCAGATTTTGATCTATCGTGTTATGTCCCGATGTGAGTTACTTTGAAATGATTTTCCCCCTCTGATCCATCTCAATCTGAATCATTATATCCGTAGACATCTACGAATGAAAAAAGATTTCCAACAGCCATGACAATACTTTGTACTCTTATTGCAGCCTGTGTTCCAATCCTTATATTTTATTTTATGAATGTGCTGGTTCTTATTATTTTCTTGGTTTACCTCTATGTATACCTACTAGAGAAAGGACAGTAAGTGAAATTATGAGAACTAGCTACTGGGACATGGTTCTGTATTTTCAATTGGAAAGTCTTAACCTACTTCGATTTGCTATTATTACAGTGTGATAATTGGAAACAAGAGTTATCTGTGTCATGAATGTGGTTCATCATCAATGCTTACTCTGTATCACGAAAGTACATACTTATCTGTGGTTCGCCTTTGTTGAACTTGAAGTCTTTGCTACTGCCAAGTTAGTATAGTATCCATTCTATAGCTGCAAAAATAATATGATGGCCGGTAGGATTCATTATGTGCAAGTGAGTGATGAATCTTATTCTACCTCTCCTGTAAGAAAATCATTTTGGTTCTGCATAGTAGGTTGCTGCACTTTCCACTTACATTTATGTCACTTTTCCTTTACTTCTGGATGCAGATTAATATGTTGCATGCTGATATATCCAGGATACAACTTAAATTAGTTCCAATGATTCAGGATTTAGTTTCTGAATGGTTGATAATTTAGCTGATACAATGACCACTTCTGGTAAGATTGTACTAATGTGGACTACATTGCAGATTACCTTCCGACATATGTATACTTCCATTACTATGGTGGCTAGTTGAGAATTAACTACATTATGTGTTAATATGTTGGACTAAACGACTATTTCTGCAGTTGGTCTTTAACAGATAGCTTTTGTTCTAGGTAACAATCGAATGCTCCTAATCATTTCTTTTAGCTGAACATGACTCTTGCAGTCTTTTATTGCACGAGCCAGAGAGAGGCTTATCTGAAATCGAGGCTTAAAGGATCTTCAGACCAATTGGACGCAAAAGAAACTGCTTTGCAGAAGTTCAATAGCAGTAGTTCAAAGCTGAATGACTTCCTTCTAGCACAAACTGATAGTCTGAAAGCCAAATTGGCTGAAGCTGAGGACAAATTAGTCCTTTGCTAATTCAGAAGCCTTCACTTTAAGTGAGAAGGTCTGTTTGCTTGAAAAGCAGCTGAAAGAAACTGAGTGTCAGGAGGATCATAGCATTTTGAATTCTGAAATCACACGACTGGTTAGTGAAAATGAGGATTTGATGGTAAAACTGTCGAAAGCAGAAAGTAAAGCCATAAGTGAAGAAGGAAAGTGCCAGTTACGGACAGAAACGAACATGGAACTCAATGAAGAAATTGAGATTCTTAAACACAAGTCTGAGAAGGTGATCATTCACTCTGTGTTCACCTTGTGTCCCCCCCATTGCAGTCTAGTGATCCACAAATCTGTAGCCATGTTGCCCTTCTGCTCTATCCTATAATGTGAAAATTACAGGAGTCCTAGAAGGGAATTTGGAATGACTAATAGTAACCAAATAAAATACATGGATTGGTGGCCATGTTTGAGAAAGGAACTTGGTCCGAAAGTTGTGTCTTGTTGTCCCTAGAATTGAAATTGTCTTTAGTCATTCCAGTTGCCCTTCTGCTCTAACCTTGCTCAGTAGATGCCCTTACTAGAGTCCTAGATGGGAACTTGGAATGATTATACTCTATGTGAAAAGGCATGGATTGGTGGCCATACTTGAATAAGAATGCTGTTTGTCCGAAAGTGAAGATTTATCATTCCAGTTGCCCTTTGGAGTCTTAGAATGGAACTTTGGAATGAGTGAAAGATACTAACGTTATATACATGGATTGGTGGCCATGTTGTTGCTCTAAATCTTGTGTCCCTTTGCTTCTCATTTTCATACGACCAGGACAGTTTGTTAACTGAAAGCCCAAGCTCTACATTATGTCAGATTTTGATCTATCGTGTTATGTCCCTATGTGGGTTGGTTTGAAATGATTTTCCCCCTCTGATCTATCTCAATCTGAATCATTATATCCGTAGACATCTACGAATGAAAAAAGATTTCCAACAGCCATGACAATACTTTGTACTCTTATTGCAGCCTGTGTTCCAATCCTTTCATTTTATTTTATGAATGTGCTGGTTGGTTATTATTTTCTTGGTTTACCTCTATTTATACCTACTAGAGAGTTTAAGCAAAGGACAGTAAGTGAAATTATGAGAACCAGCTACTGAGACATGGTTCTGTATTTTCAATTGGAAAGTCTGAACCTACTTCGATTTGCTATTACTATAGTGTGATAATTGGAAACTAAAGTGAGAGATGAATCTTGTTCTGCCTCTCCTGTAAGAAAATCATTTTGGCTCTGCATAGTGAGTTGCTGCACTTTCCACTTACATTCATGTCACTTTTCCTTCACGATACAGATTAATATGTTGCATGCTGATATATCCAGGATACAACTTGAATTAGTTCCAATGATTCAGGACTTAGTTTCTGAATGGTTGATAATTTACCTTCTGGTCACCATGCCATCGAAGTCTTCTGGGATTGAAGACTTTAGTTGTCAACTCTCTTCATTGCATATCGGTAAGTTGATACAATGACCACTTCTGGTAAGATTGTACTAATGTGGACTACATTGCAGATTACCTTCTGACATATGTATACTTCCATTACTATGGTGGCTAGTTGAGAATTAACTACAATATGTGATATGTTGGACTAAACGACTATCTCTGCAGTTGGTCTTTGACAGATAGCTTTTGTTCTAGGTAACAATCGAATGCTCCTAAGCGTTTCTTTTAGCTGAACATGACTCTTGCAGTCTTTTCTTGCACGAGCCAGAGAGAGGCTTATCTGAAATCGAGGCTTAAAGAATCTTCAGACCAATTGGACGCCAAAGAAACTGCTTTGCAGAAGTTCAATAGCAGTTGTTCAAAGCTGAATGACTTCCTTCTAGCTCAAACTGATAGCCTGAAAGCCAAATTGGCCGAAGCTGAGGACAAATTAGTCCTTGCTAATACAGAAGCCTTCACTTTAAGTGAGAAGGTTTGTTTGCTGGAAAAGCAGCTGAAAGAATCTGAGTGTCAGGAGGATCATAGCATTTTGAATTCTGAAATCACACGACTGGTTAGTGAAAATGAGGATTTGATGGTAAAACTGTCGAAAGGAGAAAGTAAAGCCGAAAGTGAAGAAAGAAAGTGCCAGTTACTGACAGAAACGAACATGGAACTCAATGAAGAAATTGAGATTCTTAAACACAAGTTTGAGAAGGTAGGTGGTTTAGAAAAGCAGTTGAAAGATTATGATATCAGTATCCAACATGCTGAGGCATCTGCTGAAGCTAGTCAAGAGAAGCAAACCATGTTGTACTCTACAATAGGCCATGGAAAATCTCATTGAGGATCACAAGTTGAAAGTTTGCAAAGCTGAAGGACATGCAGACAGTGCAGAGGATAAATGCATCATACTGTCAGAATCTAATGCAGAGTTAAATGAGGAACTCGGGTTTTTGAGGGGTAGACTTGAACGTCTGGAAGCTTACTTGAATCGTTGTGAGGAGACAAAATTAGTTGCTGCAAAGGGCATTAGCTTTCAGAGTAAAGTGGTGACCGATTTAGTGATGCAATTAGCTATTGAAAGAGAACGTCTAAGGAAGCAGGTTATTATTTACAATTCCTGGATGCTATCTCTTTTGGGTTTGTACCGACTGGTTAAATTTGTTGAGCCCTAATGACTTGATACTTTGTTGTTGTTCGCAGCTTTCGTCTCTAGCATTAGAGAATAGAACCTTGTTAACACAGCGGCAGCAGACAGAAGATGAAAAGCATTTAGCTACTGATAAAAAGGAATCTGATATCCTGGCTGGTGGTTCAAAGGTAAGTTGGAGTGAGTGGCTGTTATGACCTAAATTTGCTTGTATTTGAATGTTTGAAGAGAGAAGACCAGTTCTTACTGCAATTCCCATCTTCTCTTGCTGCTGCTAACACAAATCATTTGCGAGTTGTGTTCATGGTAACTGAATCAATAATAGCTGTCTTGCTTGCATATGGAAACATGAAATGTGTGGCGATGGTTGGATGGTACTAAACCTTTTAAATAGTGAGTAGGATTTGGATCATGGAATCAGAATCCATGAGGGTGTCAAATCCATGGATTTGAAAAAGTCACCTCTAGATAAGGGTTTGTAAAATCCATATCTAATATTGTATTTTCTCTTCTATCTTTTTTGGTTACTTAGCTTCCAACTTCCCATCAACCATTCTCTCATCTATGTTGCCGAAATCGTCTCCATTTTACCCATATAGCTATTAAGTTATTGGCATGCAAAAGTTGAATTTGCAATCCTATTCCCGCTCTTCTTCTGAATCATTTTGCCCAGAATTCATCTTTGGCATCATTTAATCTAAATCTTCAATGCCGTTTCTGCAGGTGGAGGGTAGTCGGGGAACCATGTTGGATGGTGAGACTAAAGCTGGGGCTGTAGTTGATGTGGGATTGTCCAACCAAAAGCAAGTTTTGATGGCAATGGTGGTTGTATTCATTTCAGGCCCCACATCCCAGCATCAGCATAACTGTTGCAGAGAAGAATATAAGCAGAAGAGTCATCCGGCTCTAACTGCAAAATACAACTTGCAGCCTTCTCCGCAATTTCCACATTCCCATCTGTCTTGCAAATGCTGAGCAGAGTCCTCCATATAACAGCATCAGCTTCAAATGGCATTCCCTCAATAAGCCCCAGAGCTTCTTCAGTTTTCCCTGATCTCCCTAAAAGATCCACCATACATGAATAATACTCAATTTCAGGTTCCAAACGATGCTCCTGTTGCATAGTGTGAAAATAACACATTCCTGTTCCGAGAAGACCCTTGTGTGCACACGCTTGAAGATCTGAAAGAAAAGTGGTGCGGTTTGGGTTCACTTTCTCAGGTCTCTTCTCCTCAAATACCATCAATGCCTTTTCTCCAAGACCATGCTGTGAATAACCGCATATCAGACTGTTCAATGCCACAAGGTCCTTTTTTGGTTCTTTCTCGTACATAAGTTCTGAATCTTGAAGTTTACCGCAGTTTGAATACATGTCCACCAGTGTACTCGATATGTACACATCGGACTGCAGTTGTTGCTTTATGACCTGAGCATGAGTCTGCATTCCTAGACCAACCGTAGCTAAGTTAGCACAGGTGTCAAGAATTGCAGCATATGTGAAGTTGTCAGGCTTTACGCCGCCTTCTAGCATGTAAAGGAAGAAGCTTTGAGCTTCCTCACTCTGTTGTAGCAATGAGAATCCTGAAATAATCGCATTCCATGAAACCATCGGTTGTGGGTCACTTCTATCGTGGATTTTCTTGGCCTCCTTCATAGCTCCACATTTACAGTACATGTGAACAAGAGCACCCCCAATGAATGGCTCCAAACCCAATCTGGATTTGATGATTCTTCCATGGATTTCCTTGCCGCTGCCTACAGATTGCTGGCCTGCACATGCTTTAAGTACACTGCCGTAGGTGAATTCATCAGGGTCCATTCCAAACTGAAGCATCAAAGAGAAAAGCGGAAGTGTGTTATCTTCACTGCCATTCTGCTCATTAGCTGCAATGATGGCATTCCAGGACACTGCATCCCTGTATATCATCTCATTGAAGACAGAGGTAGCTTCAAATAAAGCTCCACATTTACCATACATGTCAATCATGGCATTCACCACGCAGACATTTGTGCCAAAAACAGTCTTCATCGTTAGTGCATGCAATTGCAGTCCCAGAAACGTCTCTTTGATTGACGCACAACCACAGAATGCTCCTGATAGAGTTATTTCATCGAAACCTAAGTTGGACTTCAACAGGCATCGAAATAACAACATAGCTTCTAATCCTTCACCACATCTTGCATACCCAACAATAATGGCATTGTACGACCGTAGATTATGCTTTCGCATAGAGTTAAATATCTTATGAGCATCTCCGATGCTTCCAGATTTTGCATACATATCGAGTGTTGCAGTTCCCACTATCACGTCTGATCCAAAATCAGTCTTGATAGCATGACAATGGAATTGAGCTCCTAGATCTGAAGCAGATAGGCCTGCACAGGATCTGAAAATGGTGGCATAGATTGACTGACTGACCCCTACTCCTCCAGTGTTTTGCATCTCATTGAACAGCTCTAACCCCATGAACAATCTATCATTTTGAGTGCAAGTAGCAATCATGGCACTCCATGAAACCCAGTTTTTCTCTGGGATCTCTCGGAACACCCTGAGCGAATCATCCACCCGATTACATTTTCCATACATGTCAAGCAGCGCACTGCCTGTGAAAACGTCATTAACGAGCCCCAACCTGATTGCTAACCCATGAATCTGAACACCCACATAGCAATCTCCTAAACCAGCAGAAGCTTTTAGAGCAACAGCAAAAGTCGTCCTATCCAACTTCACACCTGATCTACCCATTTCAGAGAAAACAGCCATTGCCTTCCCATGCTCTCCATTCTGCAAGAACCCCGAAATAATCGAGTTCCACGATACGACATCTCTCACCGGCATCTCATCGAAGATCTTCCTCGCGATTCCCATCTCCCCACAGCCAGCGTACCCAAAAATTACCGCATTGTAAGAAACCACATCTCTCTGAGTCATTCCGTCAAACAGTTTGTTCGCATCGACCAAGTTCGAACACCTGACATACATTTGCATCAAACAGTTCGAAACAAAAGTCGTCGGCACAAACCCAGAAACAACCATTCGAGCATGGGCTTGTTTGCCCGGGTTTAGGGCTCTTTGCAGCGAGCATTCTTAATAAATGTGGGAAAAAGTTGTGAGCTTGTAGGTCGATTCTGTGGCTCCGTTTGAAGCTGTAGCAGAACTCGAGAAGCACAAGATGGATATGGGTCTGTAGGGGAAACGAATCTGTGAGGGCTGAAACTGCGAGAAGAATGGTGCAAATTGAGAAAGGCGCGAGCTTGGTGATCTGCCATGAACCATCGATGGAAGCAGCAAGTCATCCTCTTTTCTTTTGTTTCGCGGGTTCTATAACTCCTATTCCGCGGTTTGAATTTCAGGTAGTTGGAGTAAATGGATGAAAACTAAAAGAGTAGTGGGTAGTTGTGGAATTTACCAAGAAAAACTCAAATAACTCAAATATGAAAGATAGATGATGAAACGAGCAATGCTTATATAGATTAATGATCGAGGAAGTAATGTTCCCTCAACCGCTTCTAAAACCCTAACTGTTGCCTTGTAGTTTGCAGCTCCACTGCCCAAAGCTGATTCTTCGCTCTCTGTTCATCATCGATCAAAGCCCAAGCTCCAAAATGAGACACTCATGGCGATTGCTCCTTCTCCGCACTTACACTCGCTCATCGCCCCACGTCTCGTCCACTTCTCCCCATCTTCAGCGCCAGGTAAAGGCCTCTTGCTCGCCGTATCTCTCGTCCCTTCGTACGCTCCCCCAGCTATCTCCGTCTCTAAGCCCTCGTCATTTCTCTTCCGAGCCAATGGCTGAACCAAGCAAGGATTCGGATAATAATCATTTGCACGTGTCAGATGTGTTCACTAAATTCAGCGACGTCAATGATATAGGCAGAGAGTTGGAACAATCTGGGGTGGTTCTTACTCATGATTTGGTGTTGAGAGTGTTGAAGTCTCTGCAGTCTAATGTCGATGCAGCTAGGCGGTTTTTCGGTTGGGTTTTGGAGAAGGATGAACAGAGATTGAGCTCCAAAGGGTATAACTGGATGCTAGGGATTCTAGGCACGAACGGTTGCACGGTGGAGTTTTGGGATTTGGTTGTAATGATGGCGAAAAAGGGTTATGGTATGTCGAGGGTTACACATGATAGAGTGAAGGATAAATTTGAGAAAGAGGGACTTGATAGTGATCTAAGGAAGTTGAGAGCAGTTTTTACATCAGCATCAGCAGACGATTCGGTGGAGAAGCTTGGTGTAAGAATTTCTAGGGTCATAAGAAATAATGTTTGGTCGGAAGATGTCGAAACACAGATAAAGGAATTCCATGTCACATATTCAACAGATTTGGTGAAGACCGTGGTGGACAGTTTAGCAATGGAACCAAACAAAGCCTTGATATTCTTCAGGTGGATTGATGAGAGTGGGTTGTTTACTCATGATCAGGGGAGTTACAATGCGATAGCCAGAGTACTGGGGAGGGAGGATTGTATAGATAGATTCTGTAAGGTTACAGATGAAATGAAGAGCAAGGGGTATGAAATGGAGGACGAGACTTTTGCTAAGGTGTTGGGACGATTTGCCAAAAGAAAACTGCACAATGAGGTTGTGGACTTGTACGAGTTTGCTATGGCTGGTGCAAACAAGCCTCCATTGTCTTGCTGCGTCTTTATATTGAGAAAAATAGCAGCAGCCAAGCAGCTGGATATGGTTCTATTCTCGAGGGTAATGAAGATCTATACTGGAGCTGGGAATGCATTAACCGACTCTATGCTTGATTCAGTTCTCAAATCTCTAACCACTGCTGGTAGATATGAAGAGTGCAACAAAGTCTTGAAAGAAATGAAGGAATGTGGATTTACTGCTAGTGGAAATCTGCAGGGTAAGATTGCATTCAAACTTGGTAGTTCTCATAAGAAGAACGAAGCGAATGCTTTTCTAGAAGCTTTTGGAAGCTGTATAGAAAAGAAAGCTTGGGTACCACTAATCAAAGGCCACTGTGCATCTGGCGATCTTGAAACAGCATCTGCTTGTTTCCAACAGATGGCTTCCAAACTAGGTATTTGTAATACTGCTAGTTATGCCTTTGAATTGTTGGCATCTGCTTATTGCAGCAAGGACCAAGCTACAGAAGCATGCAGTCTTCTACATCAATGTGTCAAGGAAAACCAATTGAAGCCCTTTCAAACTACTTACAAGCTTCTGATAAGCAAGTCTTTGGTTCAGGAGGGCGGGTTTAAGGATGCTGTGAGTCTTTTGGATTCTATGAGATCCCACGGATTCCCGCCTTTTGTGGATCCATTTATTAGTTACTTATCCAAGAATGGAACAGCTGATGATGGTGTCATATTTTTGAAGTCGATTACTGCTTCTAAGAAATTTCCATCTACTCCTATGGTGCTCCAAGTGTTTGAAGCAATCTTGAAAAGTGGAAGGCGCAGTGCCGCCCAAGATCTCCTCTCAAAATGCCCAGGATATATTCGGGAACATGCCGATGTCTTGAACCTTTTCTCTCCTACAGTTAAACCTGTTCAAGCTCCTGCTGCAGTTCCTGTGGCTGTGTAGCAGGTTAGGCTGCAAAATGTACTTCTCTCTATCATACCAGATGTAGTTCCCATGTGTTTACAAGTTGGCTTTTGAAATTTTGTCAGCTTATTCGAGCTTTTTCTTTAGGGCCACCGTTAAACTTATTTGTTGAGGTTTTCGGAATAACTGGGCAATTGGCCCTCGCGTTTGCTTTAAAATCAAATGCTTCATTTGTGGTTTTTGTTTGCTTTTTCGTGGTTGATATGATTAGGGTCTTCTTACTCGAAAGACTTGCACTTGTATAGTGAACTTGCAGGATGCAAATTGATATTAAGGATGTAGCATTGAACGTTTCATCTGTGTGACATTGCCAACGGGCTCCCTGCCTGTTGTAATTTACATGAATAATACTAGCCAGTGAACTTTTCGGTTAAGGCATTGTTGATTTGTTTGCTCTCTTTAGTCATGACCCATCTCATTCTATTTTGAACTCTCTCTTCCTCTCGTTTTCTTTTTTGAGTGGCCATTTCTTGCACTGGGATGGATGGATGGATGGATGGATGGAATGAAGGAGACGGATCAATGAGGGCAAAACGTGATATGAGTGTGACAAAACAAAAGGACCAGTTTGTCTTTGTCGCAGAAACATAAGCTGAAAAGAGGCATTTTGATGGTGGGGAGTCTCTGTTTTTTGTTTTTGTCATCCACTCCCCGAGCTGTGTTTACTTGGCTGGCTGCGGTGGACCAGTGAATGGAGTTGAGCTTCATCTTCTTAGTTTTCAAGATTAACGACAGGAAAGCAGCTCACTAATTACATTTGGCTGAATGTGCAGCTTCCTTATTTGTTTCTTCTGTTGAATGTGGGTCTGAGATACTGAGTTTAAGTTAACCCTTGGTTAGGGTTGAAAGTGTGGATGTACCCTAGTTCCATGTGCTTCTTCCGCTCTTAACATCTCTCTATACTATGTTTAAGTAACATGTCCCGTCCATGAAAATTCATCAGAGAATGTAGGTAAGTTACGGATTAGAATCCTAAAAGATGTGAGTTATGGGCCACATGTTAGGAAGGTGTTAGCCCCTAACCACTTTCATAAGTCAAAACCAGTACTATCCAAGTGATTACTTCATTTCATAGTAGGAGGCATTGTTGTCTAAGGTTTTGCATGAACTAGAACTTATTTTCAAATTTTTTTTTATGTAAAGGGAATACAAATATGAGTACACTTTTTTTATTATAAAGGTGATATATATTTATTTTCATAATTATGTACTGTTTAAAATATTTGAATCTGAGACTTCCAGATTCAAGACCAGTAGTAATACAACCGGGCCAAACCCTCTTTTGCAATAAGATTATACTATTTGGGATAAGTACAAGAGAGATAATTATAATAAGGAGAAATTTATCTCCCTTTTACAATTATTATTGATATTGATTCGTAAGCTCGAGAATGTGTCAATGACTCAAATTTTAGAGTGAAGAATTTAGAAGCATGAGTCTCGAAGCAGCTTTGTCATATTGTCAAGTTGAGCAACTATACTGATGCAACTATGTGAAGCTAATGGACCTGAACAAGTTCGCATTGAAGACAACAATTCAGATAAGTATCGTTCATACCAAGTGAGAGCTAGACGGTGAAAGAGAGAGTGATGAGGGTTATGGGAAGAAATATTATTATCATTTTATTTGCATGTAAGTGTCGAGTGAGCATTGTTACAATTTGGATCATGGTCAAATTAGTACTTTTATCTTTTAATCATAATTATTCTAAATCTAATATTGTCACTACCAATAACAAGTCAAATAGATGCTAATTTTTCATTTAAACCAATATATTCCTATTTATCGAGTTTTTTTACCAATATATTCCTATTTCTCGATTTTTTTTTATAATGCAGTTGATCTTATTCATTCCTTAACAACAATTAGATTTGAAATAGTCCTACTATGTTAAAGGTATTTTTGGTTCAAATTTATGGTCGGTTGTGAGCAAAAGGAAGGGAGGGGGGATGGAGAGAAAGGAAAGTGGCAGCTTTTGCTTTTGAGAAAAGGTTTTCTTTCCCTATCCATGACCATGAGAACCCAGAGAGAGAGAGAGAGAGAGAGAGAGAGAGAGAGAGATTGCAAAATCGTGTTTGTTTGAATTGCTGTCGTCTGCTGCTGATGCAGTGTGTGTAGAAATGAGGAAAGAAAGAAGAATTGGACAAAGGATAAAGGCAATACGATATGCGAGCTTGGACTTAGTGGGCGCCCTGCTGCTTGCCGCTTTGTGCCCAAATTGCCATGGGAGGGGAATCTTCTTAATATTGATATCATAATCAATCAACTACAAAGTAAAGCAAAGCTTCCAGCACCAAAGTGTAAAAGGACAGCAAGTTACTAATAAGTTTTAGTATTTTGAAATAGGAGAACAAAACGGTCACAAGAAAGACAAGTGAGCACATATTTATATGTGTCACAATCTAAGGTTATCCGAATTGGATTTCGGAGTAAAGTTTTGTTATGTTTTATAGTTTGACTTTGACAGAAAAAGTCATGGAAAATTATCTCTTAAGGTTTAGGGTATGTTTAGGTGTTTTGTCATAATGTACGTAACATTTGATTGGTTTATATTGTTAAACCTGTTCTGAAATTTAGAAATGTTCAAATTGATCAATGGCAAAGGTGCTGCATTTTTTTTAGATTCCTAGTCTTACGAGTTAAAAGATCAACCCATCCTACGAAACTTGAATTTTTATAATATGAATAGGTCTCTAAATTAACATTCGATTCAAACAATGTAGAAATTTGATCTTTTTATAATTTATACTAATCAGATTCGATTAACTTTAGGCTAGAATTGACTTGACATAACCGAACGAAGCATTAGATATAGAATCTATCACTGCTGCTCTCAGCTGTGCATCTTAGAATAAATATCTATGTATATTCTTTTTTTAGTCGCTTTAGAGTTGAAATTTGATCCATTTTATAATTTATACTAATCATCGTTGCTTCTAAAATAAATTTTGATGGATTATCATGTATCTAGATATAGCAGTGAAATCGTACATGCATCATGATAGAAATTACTACAATTTAATCATATTGCACCATAGATTCACACAAATTCTTCTCTTTCCATGACGTCTCTCACTATCAAAATAGGGATGAACTAGAGATTCCTTGGTTCATCCAAACAATTCATTTTGTGTGAGGGAAATTTGAATCTCATCCCAATTTCAAAGGTTTGTTACCATTTTGTTACAAATAAAAGGTTTGTGACCATTTTGTACTAAGTGCAAAGGTTTGTTACCATTTATGGTAATTACATTATTATTACGTATGGTACTGACTACTGATTCTGTTTGTTACGTCCAACTGGGGGTCCTTTCATACGACAAAAAAACACTGCTGCTTTTCTTTGTTTCAGAATTCTTCTGACACGACTAAACAAACAAACCCCCAATTATTTTCCTTATTTTCTATTCGGAAAATTTGGGATTTCTTCTTCTTTTCTGGCGTGAAAAGCAGCACTGCGTGGGAAGGAAAGCCTAAAGAAAGAAAGAAAAGCATCAAGCATGGATGGATGCCTCACTCCACCACCGAAAAGTAACACCATGCCCGTTTCAAAGTTGTTCCCTTTCTATATCCATTTGGAATCAATCTGAGATTGTTAGCAGATATATAGAACAACAGTAAGACAGTTTGGGTGTCCAAAGTCCATTCCTTTTTGCTCTCTTCAATGGCGGCCGCAGCTGGAAGTAGGAGTAGAGGAAGGAGAGAAGAAATGGGTGTTATGAGTTTTGTGGTTTTCTTGTGGGTTTATGCTGCTACTACCGCAAATGGGTTGCTTTCCCCCAAAGGCGTGAACTTTGAAGGTGGGGGAAGGGGATTATCATCCCTAATCATAAAGAGTTTGAGTTTGGGTTTTTTTCTGTGCCTGGAGGGTGTTCGATGATTTTCCTCTGAAGGAAATATTTTTCGTTTTTTCTAATGTGGGTTTGGTTTGTTGCAGTACAAGCTTTGATGGGTATAAAAGCTTCTTTACATGATCCACATGGGGTTCTTGATAACTGGGATGGTGATGCTGTGGATCCTTGTAGCTGGACTATGGTCACTTGTTCGTCAGAGAGCCTCGTCATTGGATTGTAATTAATGTTCTGCTAATGTATTTAAAAGTACCAAGTACTTGTAATTTAATGCTTCTGCTAAGATGTGACTTATTCTTAAATTTGGCTTGCAGGGGAACTCCTAGTCAGGACTTATCTGGAACTCTTTCTCCAAGCATTGCCAACTTGACGAATCTTCAGATTGTGTAAGTTCTAACTGTTCCAAAAATAGGTGCCGGCCATTTCTGAGTCCTGCTTCTTTGGTTTCAAGCATGCAAAAGAGGCTAACTCAAATTGCATTTCGTTGCAGGCTGTTGCAGAATAATAATATCACAGGGCCCATTCCAGCAGAGATAGGGAAGCTCTCAAAACTTCACACGCTTGATCTGTCTAACAATTTCTTCACCGGGAGTGTTCCTTCTTCTTTAGGCCACTTGAGGAGTCTTCAATACATGTAAGCATACTTAACCATCTTCTCTTCTGCATGATGCCCAAGGACTGTGGATAGTCAATCCCATATACTCTCTTCTGTTTCACCCTGATTTTGGGGAGTTGGTCAATTTTGAACTTCAGGAGGCTAAACAACAACAGTCTGTCCGGCAAAGTCCCCATGTCAATTGGGAACATGACCAAGCTTGTGTTTCTGTAAGTCTAGGCTTACCTTGAATTCTACTGTATCATTTGGGTGAAATGCGCCACTGAAACAAACTTATTTTGGTGAACTTCAGTGACCTGTCCTACAATAATCTGAGTGGCCCCATACCTATATTCCCTGCTAAAACCTTCAGGTCATCTCATTTCCTCAATGCCTTTATCCTTCGACATATCAATTAAATGGATGCTTACTTCAGCCCTCCTTTTGCATTGCAGCATTGTTGGCAATCCACTCATCTGCCCAACTGGTTCAGAGCCAGAGTGTTTTGGGACGACTCTAATGCCAATGTCCATGAACTTAAACAACACAGAACGTGAGCAATGCCATAATTCCCTTCATGCTTTGACGATTTGATGCCTTGATCAGTGTTTGATCTCGATCTCATTTCTATTATCAGTTAATCCCCCTTCCCAAAGACCAAAGAGTCACAAGGTAGCAGTTGCATTTGGGTCAAGCGTTGGTGCAATCTCCCTCATCATTATAGTTTTTGGAATGTTCCTGTGGTGGAGGCAAAGGCTTAATCCACCAATGTTTTTCGACGTTGATGGTATGGAAGATACTATAATGAGACTTTTACAATGTATATAAACTGGCTGCTTCTTCTGCCTAACCGTGTATAGTTTGTTTGGCTCCTTTCAGGAAAACAAGATAGGCTGCATGAAGAAGTATCTCTCGGAAACTTGAAGATGTTTCAGTTTAGAGAACTCCAAATTGCAACAGGCAACTTCAGCAACAAAAACATACTTGGGAAAGGAGGGTTCGGCCATGTATACAAAGGAACTCTCCACGATGGGACGATCGTAGCCGTGAAAAGATTGAAAGATGGTAGTGCCGTTGGAGGAGAGATTCAGTTCCAGACTGAAGTTGAAATGATCAGCTTAGCAGTGCACCGAAACCTCCTCAAATTATACGGTTTCTGCATCACACCTTCAGAGAGATTACTGGTCTATCCATACATGTCCAATGGCAGCGTTGCTTCTCGTCTCAAAGGTAAAACTGATATGCAGCTTTCTTTGAACATCCCAGATAGTTAAATAGATTAACCAGACTGATCATCTCCTACTCTCATTTCCAGGGAAACCAGTCTTGGATTGGAGCACAAGGAAGAGAATATCCTTAGGAGCAGCAAGGGGACTGCTATACCTCCACGAACAATGTGATCCGAAGATAATCCACAGGGATGTTAAGGCCGCAAACATATTGCTTGATGACTACTATGAAGCCGTGGTTGGTGATTTCGGGTTGGCAAAGTTGCTTGATCACCAAGATTCGCATGTGACTACTGCTGTTCGAGGAACTGTTGGCCATATTGCACCAGAATATCTCTCCACAGGCCAATCTTCAGACAAAACAGATGTGTTTGGATTCGGAATCTTGCTCCTCGAGCTAATCACGGGCCAAAGAGCATTGGAGTTTGGAAAGGCAGCAAACCAGAAAGGAGCCATGCTCGATTGGGTCAGCCCTCAATTCTCTTAAAAATGGGGAAAAACAAAGGAAAACTTTGTGGCTCAGTCTGTTCATTTGGTTTACATTTTGGCAGGTAAAGAAGATTCATCATGAGAAGCAGCTGGAAATGATGGTGGACAAGGATTTGAAAGGGAATTATGACAGAATCGAGCTGGAAGAGATGGTTAAAGTTGCTCTCCTTAGCACACAGTACCTTCCTAGTCAAAGACCGAAAATGTCTGAAGTAGTCCGAATGCTGGAAGGAGATGGACTTGCAGAGAGATGGGAAGCTTCTCAAAGGGCGGAAGCTACCAAGTCAAAGAATAACGATTTCTCGTCGTCGGATCGGTATTCTGATCTCACTGATGATTCTTCATTGTTGGTACAAGCAATGGAACTCTCTGGCCCCAGGTGACAGTTCCCATATTAACAGGGTTTTTCACATAGTTTCTTAAGTTGCCTTTTTCCCATTTTGTTTTCTACTTTATCCTTCCACATAGAGACATAGGAAAAGGGATAGGTGGATCAGCTAATAGTTTGGAAAAGTGCCGTGTAATTCAGTTTAGATGCTAGAAGATTGTTGTAATGTCTTCTTTTGACTGGTTTGAGCTGTATCATAGAATACAAGTGGTTTTAGGGCATTATAGTGTTGATTTTATGTCAAGATTGTCACGTGAAAAGTACACATTTAACCTACTTCATTAACTTCAATTTAACATTTGAAGTTATAACCTACTTTTATATAAACGTTTTTTCCCACTTATAAAATATAGAATCAACACCCACGACTACGTCGCGGGGATTTAACTTGCCGCAAATTATTCCTACCGTATGTAATATGGCGAGGAGGTGGTCACTCTTAAAACCATTAGTGGTGTGTTACTAACTTGGTATGTTGTTTATTTTTATAATTGGAAATGTACTCAACATAGTGCATATTTTTTATCCAGTTAACGATACATTATATTTGTTCTCATTTATCAATTTGATCGCTCAAGTAAGATGGAAGTTGAGCTGACAGTGAAAAACTCAAATAGACATGTTCTTAGACATGTTCTTAGAGCGATGACAGGTGTACCAAGAGCAAAGGAACTTAGAAATGTGGTATGAGAAAAATAGATTGTCTATATTGTCCCTAACGCTTAAACATCATATTTACATTCTATATGAGCTATTGAAAAAAGAAATCCCCCAACATCCCCATTCCCTGTAGCCCAAGAGACCTTTTACTGTGCTTAGTGACTCAGAATTACTGTTTCGACTTGGAAGGAACTCGGGTGTGGGCGGGTGCAGGGAGATCACTCATTGGTTTTGGACGGGATTGTCGTGGTTCGATTGCGTTCGGACTGTGGTTACCCTTCTGGTCGGGGTGGGCCTTTCGTTGCCCCTCGCCCGCGTAGATCGCACGAAAACTGTTTTCCTCTCAGCTGCTTTTGAGTGGAAGGAACTCCAGATTTGACGGAACTGAAAGCCTGGGTATAGTTTGAAGTGACAGTAGGGAGAGAGAAGTGGTGGCTTGGAGAGACAGGGGAGACGTAATGGTGACTGATGGTGGGTTAGGCCTGATATTTTCAGTCTTTTTGCTTGGTGGATAGAGATCCACGTCTCCCTTTTATTTTTGTCCGTTCGTTTAACCTAACTCACTTTGACCCTTCTTTCTTCTTTCCTTTGTCCCTAAATTCGACTGAAAGCCAAGCGCATGTATCTCTTCCTCTCTCCTCATCTCTGCCATTGTGAGTATAACCTCTCAACCTCCATCTTTCTCTCTCTTTCTCTCTCAATTTTCTTTCTAGGTTGGTCTCTCTAATCTCTCTTCTTAGGAAATCAGCGCGCGCGATTAGAATCGATCAGACGGGTTTGGGGGGATCAGAGAGGAACCAGAAAGATCCAGATCGACCAGTTTTTTGGGTTTCAGGTGATTGTTCCTCCTTTTCTGGTGAATTTATTTTCCTTATGTTCTTCAATGGGTTCATTCTCTCTTTCTTTCTCATAGGGTTGTTTGATCTCTCGAGGATGAGAAGGACACGAGCTCCGTGTACGATTTTTTACAACATTCAGCTGTGATACTCCATTTGGTAAGTCGTTCTTTGGATGATGTGGATTTCGTTCGATTCCAGTACTCCTATCCGCAAGATGCTTCTCTTTTTCGTTCTGTAGATCGGAGTTGTCTTATGCTTTGTGGTGAAAAGTTGACACATGTCTCGCTTATTTGTCAGTTCTCCCCTCTTCCATCCGCACGTTGGAGTGGAACTCCAGGTCGACTATTGGAACTGAGGAGTGCAGAGAGCGGAGTCGGAGAAGGGGAAAATCCGTAGGTTTTACAGTGGTTTCCACTTTGAGGTGGAACAACGACATCGATGGTTGCCACGAGAATCAGGTAGAGAGAGACGGGTAGAATCCAAAGCCAAGCAGCTTGAAATTTTGTTGATCTTTTCTCTTCCACTTAATGTTGAGGCAGATCTGTCCTGTTGCAGTGAACTCGGGATCTCTCTTTTTTTTTTTTGGTTTGTTCTCTACTGTTTGTTGACATTGATTCAATTTTCTTTCCCCCTTCCACTTGCAGATTTGCTGCTAGAATTAACTAACTGAGGGTCCGCAGACTCATCGTCGCTCTGCCAGGGACATTGACCAAGGTTATTGTCTCTCTCTGATGGTTGTTCCCCTCTCTTTGTACCCTGTTATGTATACAGTTTTCTCAGTTCTGATTTATGGCTTTTGTTTTATGCTTATGGGGGAGTTCCTGTGTTTCTGGAGTTGACGATCGACCTGAGCTTCGGAGTGGTTGAGGAGGATAAGTGAACCTGAGACATCTGCAAGTACAACCTAAATCGTTCAAGCCTCTTTAAATATCTCAGGAGTCAGGACTCTCTAAGATGTTTTATTCCCCTCTTTGATACCTCTCTTTCGTTCTCAATTTAGGCACACCGCTTTCTGGAAATAAGCTCTGTTCGCGGAGCATTTTATTTTAACTTGGTTGTTTCCCTCGGTGTATCTCCTTCCGTCTGCTTGTCTTATTTTCTATTATTGACTATTGTGAAGGTTGAGTGGTTGTGTAGCTTGGCCTTTATCACTTTGCTTCCACTTCAACGGTTCTTATAAACTTCACGCTGTGTATTTTATCTCCAGATTTAGTGTATGACTATAATCTTGGGTCAACTTAAGTTGATGTATCGAGTTCATTTGCATGTATTGGTTTTTGTTGTTTAATTAAACATCCCAGTGCTCAGGGAGTATAAGGATTGTGTTTTCAGTTTGTGGCCTTTCTTATTTGTTAATTTGCAGAAGTTAATTTCCGACCCTTTTGTTTGAGAAATCTGCACAACTTGAAGGAACTGGCACGTTTGGAATTTGGATGTGGAGGGTTCAAATGTTGGTTTAGTTGCTTTAATATTAAAAATTGAGTAGTGTTGAGATGAGCATTAAATTGAAATCATGTAAACCAATGAACTATTTTGTTCATGCCATATGCCGAGATTTGAACTAAAGATTGTCAAATTCTTAGCAGCCCTCATACATAATGCTATTTTGAATTATCTAATCATAACCATGTTAATCATGGAATAAGATCCTATAATACCATGATTGGACCTATAATGTTAATGTCATTTTGTAGCATACGGAAAAAACTTAAATTACACACCAATCCCGACGCAGAGCGCGGGCAAGGAATACTAGTTATTATTAAGCATACAACTTGGTTATTTATTCTCCCCTCTAAACCTCTCTGTTCCATAATATCGCACTGAAGTGTTATTAAAAATGAAGAAAATACTAGTCTTTTAAAATTGATAGGGAAAATGAAAGAGAGAACCTGTGAATCACTCTAGTTTGCTAAGAGATTAATTTACTTTTGAGTTTTATTTTTATTGGACAAATCTAATTTGTCTCTCCTACATGTATCATAGAGGTATCTTTGTCAACCAAAATAAATACGGTATGAATTTAATGGAAGATACAGATTACCAAAACGATTGTTCAACAACCGTGTTAGTTTCAAAAAGACCCTTATGCAATTATACTGATAATTTTTCATTTATTTTCGAGGGATATCAAGAGAAGACAATAGTTATATAAACAAAACTACCCAGAAACCCCTACAAATACACTCTAGTGAATCCATCCAACAAAGTCGAAAGACTCTTACTCTCGAAGTTGGAATCAAGTTAGAATTTGTTGGATTTATAGATTCTCATTAGGCTAGCTGTCCAAGGAGATCAGTCATCGGGTATTACATCATCTTAGGAGGATGCTTGTAATTGACTTGGAAGTTGAAGAAACAAAGCAAAATTTCGAGATCATCATTTAATGCAGAGTATAGAACTTTGGTTTAGTTGGTTTTTCAGTCGCACAGTGATGGACCCAGAAATTTCACCAAGGGCATTTATCCAAAAATAATTAAAAATTTTAAATAAAATAAAATGCTAATTCACAAAATTTTTATTCAAAATTATGATTCGTTGTTTTTCACAACGAACCACAACGTGCTTTCATATTTTGAAAAAGTTCTATAAACATTCATCACGTATATTACGACTCGCACATTTTTCAATGAACATAACCAAACAATTATTTATAAATTGGTCCCATTCGATGCTAATATCAACACCAAAGAGGATTTCTAGGAGTCAACAAGGCAGAGGGTTTTTATTCTCCTTTACTTGTGGAAAGAGTTTTATTCTCCGAAGAGAAGAAGAATAACTAATTAATAATTCGTAGACTTGAAATCCGCAAGATTAATATGCTTAGGATTAGACCTGGCAAATTATAACCCGATCAGTTGATCCGATCCCACCAATTTGTAGGGAGTACTGGAGAAGACAAATTGAGATATGGAGCGAATAGGCAGAAGAATGTTGATGATGCTTAGGATTAGTACTTGGTGGAGCTATTGACGTTGGGAGATAAAATTACCTGGAGTGATGCAACTCTAGTGTACCTCTGTGTAGAGGTGTTCAAATGGTTACCATGGTTATAACCAAACCAAATAAGGTTAAATTCCATTAACCATGGAATACAATATCATAACTAAACCGTACAAACTAATACAACAACCGAATTAACCAAACTAAAGTTTAATCGGTTTGGTTAATTGGTTAACCAGATTAACCAATATAAAATCACATTATCATTGACGATGAAAATTTTCCGGTTAATGCAACAATTCGCAATTTATATAATGAATAAAACATAACAATCAACACGTAGTTATAGTTGACCCTTAACAAAAATACATGCAACTAAGACAATTATCTTACGATTAGTATAGAAGTATTCATCTAACAAAAATTTATGACAATGGTATGGGTTAGTGAATTGTTGTGTTTGTGTAAATTGACTTAGTCTCTTAGCAATTATCATAGGCTGGAAATGACCTTCCTTTCAAGTTTTCATCCATCATAATGTATGAAATTTATCTAAATTAGGCGTCCATATGTTGTGGTCTACATTTTACATATACAAATATACACTATATGAGCAATATTGAGCTTTATATTTTATGAGTCTAAAAGGGATGAACGTTAACTCTTGAGTGGTTATGCAAAGTATTAAGTATGTGTATATAATATATGTTAGATATATGACTAATTACTTAACTGATTAATTTGGTTTGACGGGTTAGGAGTGTCTGAAACCAAACCAAACCAAACCAAACCACCTAAACCAAACAAGCTAAAAACTTTAACCAAACCAAACCAAACCAATTATCCAAATTAACCAAACCAAATTATCCAAATAATACTGGTTAAAACGGTTACCATGGTAACCAAGCCGTTTGAACACCCCTACCTCTGTGTTCTCGATATTATGAATTATCTTTTGACATAAAAAAAAAAATATACTAGCTTGTTAGACAACTATAAATTAGCATGATCGTATATAGTTACTAGGAAGAAATATCAATCATTGTATTCATCCATGAAACATGGCTTATATACACGTTTATAGGCGGTACATTTTGGAACATAAAGTTCATGAACCAAACTATACTTCCCCAGTACATAATCCAGTGTCGTCAGAACAAACTACAATATATTCCAGCTCCTCCATTGTCGTTGGAAAGTCTGATCACCATCATCATCATCTTCTGCCGCCGTAGGAAGAGGTACTAGACCGGCTTCTGGAGCTATCATAACCAGACTGAAGATCACTGAACACATCCTGACTACTCTGACTATTCAAAGGCGAGCTCCCTGTGCTCCCACCATAGCTGAACCCGCCAGCAGGAGACACATCATCGGCCAACATTCTCAACCTGTTCAGCTCCGGCAACACCTCGTTCCCCAAATCCGGCCTGTCTTTCCTTCTCAATTCGGCACACTGAAGGGCCAGCCTGGCAAACCTCAATGCCTCCTCCACAGGCCAGTCTGGCACGGTAGGGTCAAGCATGTCTTCAAACGTTCCCTTGTCGATCGCCCTTTGGACGTGGTGGGTTAGCCCCATCGGCGGCTTGGCAGTAATGATCTGGAGCAGCATTACGCCTAGCGAATAAATATCCGATTTCACCCCCAGCATTCCCGTCTGCTGATACTCCGGGTCGATGTAGCAGAACGTTCCGGCCGTGGATGTCATCCGGTATTGGGTCACCGAGTCAGCGACCGACGGAGGGACGAGCCTAGCCAGACCTACGTCACTGATCTTGCTGACGAAGTTCCTATCCAGCAAGATGTTACCGGGCTTGAGATCGCGATGGACTAGCGGTTCGGGCTTGGTCTGGTGGAGGAACAGTAGGCCTGTGGCGATTTCTGCTGCGATTCGGAACCTTAGTTGCCACGAAAGAGGCGGGGTGTTCCCTCTTCTGAAAAGCCTGTCTTCCAAGCTACCGTTGGCCATGTACTCATAGACCAAGCAGCCGTATTCGGGGCACGCTCCAAGGAGAAGCACCATGTTTGGATGGCGAATGCAGCACAAAACTTCCACCTCCTGTTGGAACTGAGACCTTCCCTGAGCTGCGTCGGGACGCAGGACTTTGATCGCGACGGGTGTGTGATCGAGATGCGCTCTGTACACGGGGCCATACCCGCCTTCTCCGATTTTCAAATTGTTTGCGAAGTCCTTCGTTGCAGACTCGATCTCTTCGATTTCGTATCTCCTGTACCGAATATCAGCGCCGCCGCCATGGGACAGTCCATTGCCGGCTTTCTTTCTCTCCTCGGCATCTTGTATGGCTCTCAATTCTGCGGCTCGTCTCTTCTGTGCTTCGAATTGGGCGATCTTCTCGGCAGCTTCGGCTGCCTCGAGTGCTGCTTTGCATTTGGCCTTTTCCTTCTCGACGAGAGCCAGTGCCTGTTCTTCGCTCATTCTCGCCTCTTCGAGCCTCTGCTCTTCCTCCATTCTCCACCGATGAAGCTCCCTGGCTTGTTGTTTCGCCGAGAGAGCTTCCTTGCAAGCTGAGCTGTACATCTCCATCGTTTGCTTCAGCTCTTGTCTCAGCCTTCTCATCTCGGCTTCCATGTCTTCCTGCAAGATTGGCACGATTTGTCCAAGTAAGCTGCAAGTGGTTCGAAAAGCAAGGTGTTACCAAATTTTGAGAAGAAGATGAAAGTCTGCAACTTTCCTGGAATGAAAGGTCGAGGGACCGATTTCCTGAGTAGGAGGATCCGGTGCTTCTGGTGTCGAAATCCGAGCCAGTCGAGAGCCTTGGAGCATCCCCGTCGCTCATGGATGCAAAGTGGTAGTCGAGGCTCGGCCTTCCACTGCTGACGAAAGAGATGTCGGAATCCGGCATTGGTGATTCGGCTAGTTTTGCTATTGAAGCTCTTCCTCTTGCAAACGGCGACCTTGCGTAGACACATGGGAAAAATAAATAAAGAAGAAATGGGTTGGCTTCCTCTCCTGCTGAACACACATGGTGTCTCGGTCTGATTGTTAAAAATTGGAAGAAGAAAAAAAAGAAGCTTACCTAATGAAATCATCTTCATTCTGATAGCCTGGCGGGTAAAGTGATCTTTCTGCTGTCAAAATTAAAGCATTACGTAATCAGCTCCTGGAAAAAATTGGAGATTCCATCCACGCCACAAGAAAGCAGATGAAACATCATAAGCAAACCTCTTTGGTAACCCCTGGAAGCAGGATCAGGAATTGAGAAACCTGGGCCTGGAGAGGCTGCAGCAGCAGCAGCAGCAACAGGTCTAGGCGGTGCAGGGACAGGTGCGGTAGCGGCTTTCACTGATGAAATCTTTCCTTTGCCAATAACATAAACGGTACAGAAATCTGGTGCCAATTTCGAGACATTGCTTGGAACATCTGTCACCCTGAACTTTCTGTGGATATCCAAGAGAAAAGCGAGAAAGGAGAAGGAAAAAAAAACAATAATAAGGAACAGAGATTAGCACATTGCAGGAGATATCTGAAACCGCCCATCTGCCCCTCCCGAACCCAGAATTTCCAGACGATTTATCTACCTAACGAGGCCACCTCGTGAAGGGCTGCCTAGCACCACGACATCAACGGAATTCGCATTCACGTAGTCGACGATTGCTTTGGCTATGTCATAATCCTCCACAACAACTTCATTGCATTTTAGCTGGAAGAAAGAAAAAGAAAACCAACCCAGAAACAATGATACATGTCAATGGATGAACAAATGAGAGAAAAAACGGAGAAAAGGGTTGGAATGATTGAGATAATCTTACATCTTTACGGGTGCAGAAGCAGCGGAAAGGAAGCAAAAGCTCTCTGGCTTGGCCATCAATCGGGACTCTATTATCGTCGTCGAGAGCAGCAGGACCAGAAGAAGAGGCAGAAGAGGAAGACGATGAAGAAGAAGAAGACGGTCGGTGTTTGACGTGAAGGAGAACAATGGTATGGCCTTTGCTGAGGAGATGATCGGTTGCCCATTTCAGAGCATGCTGGCTTCCTTTATCTTTGTCCACAGCCACAACCACTTGTTGGTACTCCTTCTCCGCCACCTTCCTCGACATTTTCTTCTTCTTCTCCTCCTCTAGCTTTCCCCTCTTCTGCTTTTCTTCCCCTGGTTTCCTCTTTCCTTCGCAATGGAGGGGATGATTGATGTTTGTTGGTGTTTGGGAAGCTACGTATTTAAATAAGACAAATATCCCAAACGGGAGCTTGGGGAAAAAAAAACTGAACAAACAGAATATTGGCCTGGTCCTCAATCAAACTAACTCACAAACTGCCACCTCTTTTTTTCTGCTCCTCTAGTTTTGTTTTTTTGTAACAGCCCTCACCCTTTATTTTTTGGCCTTCTCTTGTTCAGAAACCGGGGAAAAATAAAGGAAAACAACCCTGCAAGTAATTCGCTACAAAATTAATTCACATGAATTTCCATGCAATATATGCGTAAGTTGTTGGTTTGCACATCTGAATCGACAGGTACGTGAATTTTGACATAACTATTTTTGGATAAGAATAACACTACAACTTTGATATTTAATTCAAATTAACACAACGCAAAATATTATAATCAACTAACAGGTTTTCTGGACAAAGGAATTGAGTAGTGGAATTTTGTTTAATTCCTTCGAGCTAAGGAATTCAGCGAATTCCAGATTTTGGATGGACCATATTCAAACTTTAAATTGATGGAACTTCCAATCCTCCACTTCTCAATTCTCTTCCAGTTAGGTGAAATTTGCCAATAACATCGTTGGAAAGCAAAGCTAAAACAATTCATTCTTTATATTTATCTATCCAGCTGATTTCATCGATTTACTCCACTCTGTCCTGGAGGTCTCAGGTTCAAATCCTTTCAGTAACACCTAACTATAAACATCAACCAATGTCACCATTAGGGGGGGAAAATCCACTCGTTTCAATAGTACTATATTTCAAAATTCTTTCACTAAAACCAGCCCTAAAAGCCAATCTCTCTGGCCACGGAAGGCACAAGGAAAGAGAACTACGACTCTGTTAACTATTAGTCAAGCTGATAACTAAATAATAGAAATAATTGGATAATATTTGCGTGACTAGTTAACCAAACAGCTAAACAGGGTTCTAACTAAAAATGATTTGCGGTGATTGGCTCATCAAATTCCTAACAGCAATTGAAATAAGGTTTAACGAAACAATGATATTCCAGCAATAATCTGGAACATGATATTTATTCATGTCGAAAAAAACAACATTCCAGGAAAGGAAAAACTTATAAAATATAGTAAATAAGAGCCGTAAGAGAATATACATCGAGAAGAAAATGGCAAGTAACCTACTTATTTTTTTTATTCCCGTTTTCCAGAAACATACTATGAACTCTCTCATCTTCAATGAGACTACTAGCAACTAGACTATTTTGACGCAGTAACACATTGCAGTCCTAATTTTGAAAGTGAGAGCTGTTAGAGAGCGGGTATAAGATTCAGTATTATAACCTTCTCCCAACAACTCGAGTTATTGGGATCAACTGGTTTATGATGTCCAACCCACTAGAAGAACAACAGAGACTCGCACAACAAAGCAAAGGAGGGGAAATGAGGGGACAATAACATCACCGTCCTGGCCGAGTTGCTGCAGGGAGAGGTTGAACAGCAGCCAAGGGATTGACCTGGTACAAAAATGCAAGCCGCCACAAGTCTACCAGAGACTTCTTGACCCATATAGCCTGCCGCTTAACAACCCTAAATCGCATAGGAAACAAATGCAGAATAGTTTGAGATATATCCTAGGATGCAGAATATTCAACGGAAAGAATCGATGCATCCCCAACGGAATTACAGAAGAAGGAAGGCAGTAAACAAGCTTACCCTGTCAAAACAGCTCGGTTCTTCTGAATGAAGTAACACAGGAGAACAAACAGACAACTAAACACAATCTTTCCATTTGTTACAGCCAGTGGCATGTTTCTAAGCTTCAACTTGTATGAACGAAACCACCATACACATTGTTTTCTGTGCCTGGATTTCCCATTCAGCATATAGTTCGCTTTTGAAGCCTTCGAGGATTCTTCAGATAAATTTGACGAATTTGACGAAAAACCATGAATATCCCCATTATTTTCTGGCAAAACTGAAGAATCCTGGATCCCGTTGGAGGTTTTCTCGGAATACATTGTGTGCAATCTTCTCAAGACTCAAGAGCACCTGCAACAAGACATCAATTTAGATATAGGTTATCTTTCAGTGTTCTATTTATAACATACCTATATAGCAGATAATTTAAATACAACTTCATGCACAGGTACTTAAGTGAACCAAGGATTTAGTTCCAATATTGGCGTTCTTATGGCATACAAAAACAGTCCAGATTCTTTAAGTAATGTATATCATAAAATTAATTTTCCTTGTAGCTTCTGAATTTTTCAAGATTCCAAAAGGAGGGGAAGGGATATCAAAGGCTAAAAATTAAGTATCACCTGTCGCTTTTCCTCAGGTAAGGCAGCTTTCTCAAGCCAAGAAATTGCAATGTTCAACTCTTTCAAATGCTTGCCAAGTAAAGTAACAGTATAGACCTCAACAATGGCCAAAAAGGTTTCAGCATCCAATGTATTCCTCCTATCACATTGTTCATGGACCTTCATATTTGAATCTTTGATGGAAAGAAGATAAAATCTTTCATCCAAAAAACTCCACATGCTAAGAAAGTCCTGAAGAAACTCTTTCACTCCATGTAATGACCCTGCTGATATTTGCAAACAAACCCTATGAAAAATAAGCCAAAACGATTACATCATCTAACTAAATACCAAAATCAACTTATAATTCTGTATTCTGATCAGTCACTATAATTTGATATCTGAGAGACATATGTGCTGCACATCTTGTACATTTGTTGGCATAAAAATCTCTTCACAGCTAAAAACAGAGATCAATGTGTTCAAACTTCAAACCTTCCAGTGTAAGATGCAAAATCCTGAGATCTTTGCTCAGGCACCAATTGTCTAATAAGGACGTAGCATAATCAGAAGAATTCACCTACTAGTTAGGTTACTATTGGAATAGACTTTACACTATAAGGATGAAATGTAATCGTCTACGAGACCAAATCCTGAGCAGCTCTTTCTGAGAGTCAAAGCTTTTGATTATTAGTCTTTAAATTTAGATAAAACGAGGCAAAATGAATTTACTAACAGATTATCTCACAGTTATTTACCCTACTAACCAGTATCCTTCATCAAGAAAATCAACCTATCTTCCTAGCTATGACTTGAGATGCGAGCAGGGCTAGGATACATTATTAATTATGAATCAGCCATATCATAACAACCTAGACACACAATCGGAACATAAAAACAACAAAAGAAAACAATTACAATTCCTAGCCTTCTCCAGGGGAATAAATTAATCTTTATGGTTTTCCTCCATCAGTGCTGCTAAGGCAGATATGCCTTTACTAATCGGCTTGGGACAACAAGCTAGGAATTATAGACCAGTCCATGAGCACGTGTATAACTGTAGGATCTGCAGGTTGCACAGCTTACAGTCCATCCAATGTCATTTCTCAGTTTAACAGAGTGACCATCCTCTCATGTAATAATCCGCCCCAAATATTATGCTCTAAACATTCGGAGTCTTGAGGTTCAAGTGGCTATATTCAGTTATTTTTCTTGCAAGTACATGATCTCCTAGTTTCAAGGATCATATTATATTGGAACACGAGTGATTATTCTCTTCTGTATGCATACCTGTATACTATGGGTCAATGAATTGAATCTCTTGGCGAAACAAAGAAACTAAAGAATGGGAAGAAAGCAAAACCAAATGACCTACTTGGCTCAATTAAAAGTGAAGGGAAGCAGCAGGATACCCAGTTAGAAGAGCTTCAGCAGGGACTGCTGCAGGATAAACGAACAGGTCCTTGAGCTCACTTAGAATACTTGATGCCCTGCAAAAATATCAACATCGCTCATACAATTGGGAAAACCAAGCCTCAGAAGTTGCCTGAAATGCAGGCATTCAAAACAAGAGAATAGTAAGTTAGACGAAACAGTCCGCCTATCTAGTGCAATGCCTAATCCACATGCAAGCATGCAGCCAGCTTCTTGAGAGAACCCTTTCTTCTTATGCACAAACAAACAGGACTTTCATCCATTCAAGCCTCGATCAACGAAACAACTTTATACATAAACGAACGACCAGGTTCCACACGGGAAAATCAAAATTTTATTCAACTAACCACCTAAGTGACTCTACTTGGCAGATATAATACATTTGCTCACAATCTATGACCAGATATCAGCCATACGAGTATTATAGGCTCCCCAAAAACACATTTAAACTCCCATCTCACTGTCCCTCAATGGTATATTTCACTGTAATTTTCATAAAGCTAAAAGAAAGCCAAAAGAACTAGGATACCTTCCAAGTTTGTTCAGGGACTGCATCAACACCATACCCGCAGATTCCATAACTTCGGACAACTCATCATCATGATCAAATACTCTGCTTCCATAGCCATTGTCAAGTATCCGTTTCAAAACAGCTGAAGACATTGATGCAGCCTCCTCATACTGTGAGCAAACAAGGTAGCTGAAATAAGAAAATTCATAATAAAATCACATCACCGAAATGAAGGGGGGAAAACAAAGAATCGAGCTCAGGGAGTGCTTTCATTTCATGGGAAAACTAAAGAACTGAACCACTCGCCTCTCTGAACGATCAATCTCTTCCCAAATCGCGGAGAAACAGTCGGCGGCGTCCATGTCGCTATCCATAAAAACTGGTTGAATGAGCAAGAAGTGGGCCTGAATCATCCAAAGCACAATTGAGAAATCATTAGAAAGAAACGAAGCTCGCTGCCGGAAAAAGCTAAGATCGAAAAGCAAATTTGAAACACAGTAGGATCAGTTGAAGAATCTGACGAGCAGAGGAAGTAAAAGTACCTTTCTGAAACGAGCAAACGGAGAAGAAAAACGGTGAGACTTAGAAGAGATTATGAGAGAACTTCGCACCGGAGCAGGGGGCGAGGATGGTGAAGGAGTGCCGTCGTCTCATCTGCTGTGGCAATTGAAATTATCCAAATAGACTGTTTTTTTGGGCTTGGTTACGCTATGGATTGGTTTGGGTGTGCAATGCAATGATTTGGTTATTAGTGAAAGACATTTTATAACCTCATCAATATTGCATTCACTTTAGGGTTTGTTTGCTTGATGATGGATTTGGTGAGAGATTTGGATTCATCATGTACTTTGTCAAAAATTTATTGTTTGCTTGATGCATTTATGGGCAACAATTTTGTGGGTCTCATGAACTTTAAGGGTCCAAATCTGTAGATCCCAAGTACTTGAAAGTTCCACCTATTTAGGTGGGAATTCATCATGGACTTTGAAGTCTATCATTTAAGACCAAACTACCCCTCCTATTTCATTTCTCTTCTCATATCAATGAGCGCAATAAAGGTAAATTTCACTTCATACATACAAATTTAATTAACCAATTCCATCATGAAATCTATGAAACAAACAATCTGTAACCGTGGATATCCACCCGAATCTGACCTTATCAAGTAGGGTAAAACCCGAACCCGAATGACTTTTTGTGGGTACGGGTAAACACGAACCCGAATATTACGGGTAATGTGTGGACATGGTTTTTTCACTATCCAACCCGAACCCGCCCGATTATACACCTGCAAATGTATTTTGTATTTAAATAAGTATTATTTTTCTCTAACATATTTTATATTTAGCATATAAATACAATATTTTCATGAAATTGTGTTGTTTTAATTAATTTGTTTTATTATAGTGAATTATTGTCGTACTTTTCCTCTTATGTAATGTGAGAATATATGTGAATGTTAACATATTGGTTGGAGTTATAAAAAGAAATTATTACCCATGGATAACCGTGGTTACCCGAAACCCGAACGGGTATGGGCATGATTTTGATTTTCTACTCATTTCTTATGCGGGTATGAGTATGTGTAAAACCCGAACTACTTTGGATAGGGTAACGGATATGCACTATCCGCGCCCAACCCGGCCCATTGTCATCCCTATTATTTGGTACATTTTCTTTCGTATTTATAAAATTCACGAGATCAAGGACCATACTATGTTATACTTTGTTTGGTATGATCCAGTCCAAACATCAGTTAGGTTTGATGCGCATACGTACGAACCAACCCGTTCCATACCTCTGACTATGGGTCATTCAATGTTTTTTATCCAAAACAAGCCAAAGGTTGTAGTACAACTACAAACACTCAATTACGATAATGGTTCCTGCCAAACACAGTAGTCCGTATGTAGTCGAATAATCAATGAAAAAAAATCTATTATGCCACTATAAAGATCTATATTGTATGGATGCAATGAAGAAGATTTAAGGACTAACCCAGTCGCTATTGAAAGTGGGTTGACTTGGTATGAAAATCCGGACCAAAACCCAATATAATGGCCAAATTTCTTGGGTCTTTGCTAAAAGGAGTGCAATCAAGTTGCACACTTATTAGTCCATACTCTATGTAACTAGAATTCTCAGGAAATTCGGGTCACTAACCACCACTTTTCATGTTTCCTTTACTTCAAAAGATTGTAATTTGAGCATGATCAAATAATAATGCATACAGATTGCTTGACCCGGGAAAGTCCCCAAGGCTAACATAGTAATTGTGGGGTTTCGATCTGGACTCCCTCGTTTGATCTTTTCGGGAGGCGAGGAATCTGTGAGGAGGGGGCGGCCTCCGAGATCTACGCTCCGATGCCCAAGTTAGTACAATATAGAGAAGGTATAACGTGTGTAGAGAGAGGCCTTGAGGAAAAGTGGGGAAGGGAAGGAGAGGATCCTAGACTTGGAGGGTTTGGCCTCCTTAAATAGGACTTGGGCCTCCTTGAGTGAGATTCGGTCCAGGACACCTTGTGGTGGGTTTGGGTCCATTAATAGCTGTTTGTCGTATTAAGCGGGTTAATACCACACCCAACACAGATGTTACAATAAAAAATTTGGTTAAACACTAATTATTAGCCAAACCTTTCTTGCATCCTTTTTTAGCCAAACCTATTGAATTACTAATAATTAGTCAAATCTTTTGTAATGCATCAAAATATTAGTCATTTTTATGTTATCGTTAATAATTTTGTAACTCTTTTCTTAGTTAAAATACTAAAGTTTTGTTATATTGACCTGCATGGCTTGAAGGACCAAATTAAGCGATGAAACATTAGATTATTTTGGACCCGAACTTGGTCCTAAGTTTCGACGTTGTTAAACCACGACATGAAAACATTACCGGGGTTAGACTCCTCCATCACGACCATCAATCTTGGAAGGAGAGCATATGAGTCGTCCCAATCGTCGTACACGTCAGCCATGGCAGTTTGATTTCCATGGCATGCCTTCTTGTACCTGATTGTGTAGGAATGACGATCTTTTACCTCAGCCATGATAGCTTTGATGGTGATGTTTATTTGTAGCTCAATCAAGTGCTTAATAGTGGTACTAACTTTCTTTGCATTCTAGGGGTGGGCAACGGGAAACAGATGTTTTTTATGGGAACCTGGTAAGATTCATTCTGAAAGATCTCAAGTCAGGCCACAAGGGCCACGACCCAAATCGGACTCCAACAAACATATCAAAGGAAAAGGGGGGTCACAAACCCAAACAAACTGGTTTTCCCAACTAGCAACAGAGTGGGCTAACCAATGGGCATGCCCATTACAACTTCTAGGTACCAACGGATTACCCATTAATCCCATCAGTCCAAAAACCCAAACCCACTCCAACCCCCAACCCGCCTCCTGCTGATGAAACTCAATTCTTGTTGACATCATATTATTAAAAAAGAAAGGAAACAGAGAACACATGAGGAAACAACAAAATGAAAAAAGAAAGCAGGAAGAGAAGTTCAAATATTGCTTCCCTACATCTCTAGATAGATAGTCTTCTACTTTTACTTTCTCTATATACCACCAGAAGTGCTCTTTGCCTTCGGATTTTTTAATATAAAGTCAATGAAATTATTTAAATATCATCATTTCACACGAAAAAGTTCCTTCTGGGTCCTAATTCTGCAGACGTATGATTTTGGCAATGTATGTTTCGTTTTCTTTACTTTAGACCTGTGTAACTTCTATGTTTGGCCAAGACATTTGGCTACTGGTAATGGCTTATTAGGTTGAACTTGCAACTTGGGAATTCTTGTCCTGTTGTAGCTTGTAATTGCAAAGTTTTTTTAGTTCTAATAAAAGAAGTTCACCCTTACCAAAAAAACAAAGAGGTCTAAGGTGGAAGTTGGCCGAATTGGACGGGTAGTATGGGTACCCGTTATTCATCTATTAGTTGCTACAATTTCCTGTACAAAATCATTTCAAAATCATGGTTGCCCGTATGAAGAAATGGACCCCTTCGATAGTCTCAGAACTTCAGAAAACGTTCACAGGCTGTCGCCTCATCCAAGATAATATTATTATTATCCATGAAACTCTTCATCATTTCAAGAACCACAAACTGGGTAACATAAGAGATATGATGCTTAAACTTGATATGAAAAAGGCATATGGCATGGTGGATTGGGAGTGCTTGGAGAATCTCCTTAGAACATATAGGTTCGATGAGAAGTGGTGCAGATGGGTTAGCACATGTATTTGTACAGTCAGATTCTCTGTGTTGTGCAATGGGGAAGCCTCAGATACCTTCTGTCCTTCAAGAGGCATTAGACAAGGAGACCCTCTCTCTCCTTTTCTCTTCATCTTAATGTCTAATGCCCTCACTTTCCTTATTAACATGGCAGTGGCGGAAGATCGCATCAAGGGAATTAAGCTCAACGCAAGAAGCCCTACCCTCACTCACTGTCTTTTCGCTGATGACGAAGTCATCTTTGGGAAAGCTAGCATTCAAGAGTAATAATTTTGGACCACATCAATGATTATGGTTCAATCACTGGTCAGGAAGTCACCATCAACAAATCCTTTGTATTCTTAAGTTCCAACAGAGGAGAAGAATGACATAATTACTCACATTGGATTTGCATCATCTGACTGCTATTCTAAATATCTTGGAGTCTAGAATGAGAAATTCTAAAAAAGAAATGTTTTACTTCCTTATCCAAAGGATGGAAAAGATGGGGGAAGCTTGGAAGAGTTTGGTTCTTTCTCACGAAGGGAAGGAAGTCCTCAAATATGTTATTCAGGCTATCCGATCTTTAATCATGTGCCTCTTCCTTCTATCACTGTCCCATATGAAGAAAATGGATTCACTTCTAAGCAATTTTTTCTGGTTAGGATCGATGGAAAAAAGCAATCTTTACTAGTGTAGAAAGGAAACCTTTGTGCCCCAAAGTCAGAAGGAGGTTTGGGTTTCCGAAACTTTAGAGATTTTAATCTGGCCCTTCTAGCCAAACAATCCTGGAGGATTCTCACCAATCCTGATTCCCTTTGTAGTCGCCTCCTCAAATGACTTCCCTAGAGGTAACTTCCTTTTAGCGAGAAAAATGGAAGTGGAATAATGACTTAATCCATGGGGCAGGTTTCTAATTATGAAATTGAACATATCTTGAGAATCCCTATCGGGGAAGTGTAATCCAAAGATTTCTGGGCGTGGAGATCAAATGAAGAAGGGAATCAGACTGTCAAGTCGACTTACCATGCGGTTCACTTATCTTCAACAGAATCCCAAACGATGGACAACGTGGAGAAATGGAAATGGATGTGGAATCTCGACATCCCTCCAAAACTCATTCTCCGTCTGGAGGTTTTCCAGGAATGGTCTTACAACAAAAGAGAGACTATTTCAAAGGAAGTCCTTACCCAATTCAACATGCCAAGTGTGCCTTTACCCCATTGATTCCCTCTTCCACTGCCTCTTCTCTTGTAACCATGCAAGGAAATCGTGGAACATTATCTTCCCAAACCTTCCACTTCCATCGTAGGCTACAGTCTTCTTAGATTGGTTGTACTACCTAAAGGATGCTATCCAAACAGAAACTCTGGCACATGTTGTCTTTCTCTGCTGGAATATCTTGAAGGCAAGGAATGAATGTGTGTTCAAGAATC